TTGATGGGGGGGGGGGGGAATTGGGCCTCCGGCCACCTTCACTCACCAGACGAAAGGCAGAAGCAGAGCCTCTACTTTACGCTTCACGCTATACTTCGGTATTCTGTGAGGTCGTGGTACCAACCCGGCTCGAGCCGGCCCATACGTGCAACAGCATAAACTGCTGCGTGGCTCTACCACCGTTAGATATCCACCTTCGGATTGCACCATCAGAAAGGTGAGGTCATAACAGTCATCTAGGTCTTTACGAGCCCTTTCAAATGAGCTCAAACACGATCCTTCTATCTAGTGCCGTCACTGAGATCCTATACCCACCTTCGGATGGCACCATCAAAAAGGTGAGGTCATAACAGTCACCTAGGTCTTTATGAGCTCATTCAAATGAGTTCAAACGCGGTCTTTCTATCTAGTGTCGTCAATGAGATCCTATACCCACCTTCTGATTGCACCAACATAAATGTGATATCATTACAGTCATCTAGGTCTCCATTTACCTATTTGAAAATGAGTCCAAACACGATGGTTCTATGTAGTAACATCACTGAGATCCTTTACCCACCTTCTGAGTCCACCATAAGGAAGGTGACATCATTACAATCACCTTGGTCTCCATCCTATGTCAAACCAACTTCTCTAAATATATATGACGGCTTCGTGGCGCAGTGGCTTAGCAATGAATTGCTGCGCTGGGGGGCGCGGGTTCGAATCCCGCACGGAACAAGTATTTATATGGCCTACAAATAATTGTTGCGGGTCTAGATGTTTGTCCTTGTGCAATTTGTGTTTGTAAACTGCCTCCACGATACAGGAGAAAATCCTAGTGTGGGGGTAACTTTTTTTTTTAGTAAAAAAAAATATATAAAATAATATAAAATCTAAACAGCATACAAATAATGTTATAAAAAATTATAAAATATATATAAAAGCTACTAAGAAAGTATGTACTTACCAATAATGGCAACGAACTGAAGCCATCGGATTACGGTGCGCCCGTAAAAATACGTAGGTTGCCGTCAATTAAAAATTTTAACTTAAGATTTCACATTCATGATCAGTTTTTGGATGTACGTCAGTTCAACGGAGTAATTTAAATGACAGCACGCCCGAATAAAATCCGTGTGTTGCCGTCAGTTAAAAATTTCAACTTAAGATTTCACATTCACGGTCAGTTTTTGGATGTACGTCAGTTAAACTGATCAGTTTAACTGACCGTGAGTGGCCACCATTAGGAACAGTAAAGAATGAAAAGTCGACGTTCCTATAGTTATTTAAGCACCCGTATGCTATGCAGTATCTTTTGGCTTTTTGAGAGACCATATTTGAATAAAAACTCAAAAATAAAGTGCCTAAATACCTATTAGAGAAAAAGAATTTTTATGTTAACGTAAGGCGCGCGACAGCTAAAGCGGACGCGCAGCGTAGGTATATTTTCATGCCTAAAGCGCGGAGTCAGACAGGCCTGGGGGACTGGAGAACGATGCTCTCCATAATATCTTTGAGTTCTCCGGAATTTGGGTTGTTTCTTGGCTAGGCATCCATGAAAAAATAAAATGGGTATTTTCTATGAATAGTGCCATAATATTCAATTTTTCAAACAAATTAATAAATATGTAGCAAAGCCCCTGGCAAGGTAGCAAGCTAACAACGCTGCCATCAGAACATCAAGTATAATGTACTCTGTGACATCAAGCACAGAGTACTTTTTATAAACTCTGGAAACCATGGGCGTGCAACTTAGAACATTATTTTACGAACAAAATGATACGTTTTATGTGCTTCCATCTACATTCCGAAGTGCTAGGCTAGACTTATTTTAATCTCACTAGAGGGCACACATATCATTAGAATACGAAAGTAAATTTCGCCACCATTATAATAGCTCAGGTGGGTAACCAAGCGGTCCCGAAGCCTAATGACCCCGGTTCGAGTCCAGCAGATGTGTTTATTTTTTCCCTTTATTTTTCAAGTTCCTTCTTTTGTAAAAATTAAGCGCCATCTGTTCGGCAAAGCACGTCACTAACGAAAATTAAATTTGAGTCGCGCATCTATCTCTAGTATATATTATACAGTAATCTATGCTGGAAATATCAAGTGTAGGGATGTCGATTCTATCCGAAAAAGATCGATTCTTAAATAGATTAAAATCGTAAGCTGACGTATCGATTCACAAAAAAATCGAGGTCTAAAAGATCGATTCCTAAAAAATCGATTTTTTCATGTTTGCATTTATAATATAAATATAAATCCATTCCATTACAATCAAGAAAGATACCACAATAAATGATCTCTTATCAGTAAAAACAGTTTTTATTTAGTTCAGCGAGTTCGATAATAACAATTATTTTTATTACGATATCAAAAGCGAAACGAAGAGATTCGCAATATGGCAGGTTTGAAAGATGACCTTATCACAAAAATTGATAAGGGCGTGCTTCGGTGGTTTGGGCACGTTGAGCGAATGAGTGAAGACCGAATGGTGAAGAAAATATATAGCGCAAAAGTTAATATTAAAAGGTGTCGAGGTAGACCGAGACTAACTTTCGAAGACCATGTGAGCAAATTGCTCGAAGAGGGTAGGGTCAAGAGTACTCGGATACCTAGACGTGCATGTATGAAGAAGATAATGAATCTGAAAGAAGCGAAAGAGGTATGTAAGGATCGTGACACTTGGCGATCTGTTCTCTCTGGCTACCCCGTCAGGGATTGTGCGTGAAGATAAGTAAGTAAGTACGATATCAAAGTCAGATCAGACATTTATTTTCAAAATGTATTTATTACACGAAATAGTTAAAGTTCTCAATGCTTCATATCTAAACTTTTTAAAAACAATAGTCTATCAAGTCTACTGGGATCCAAGCGGTTCCGCTCATCACTTGCGATGCTGCCAGCAATTGAACAAAGGCGCTCACAAGCACCAGTAAGCTTCCCACGATTCTCATATACATCATGACTATTGAGTGAAGGTCGTGATAAATAGAGTTATTTTGTTCCTGCCAGTACAATATAGAATCATACTTCAGGTGCACAACTGCCTGCGATAATTAGTGTTTAAATTCGTCGTTTAAGACCTGACTTTTCAGTGCAAATGCATATATACACAAAATATATATTTTTTATATGACAGGGGGCAAACGATCATGCGGCTCACCTGATGGTAAGTGACTACCGCCGCCCTTGAACAACTGCAATACCAGGGGAATCGCAGATGCGTTACCGGCCTTTTAAAAAGGAGTAGGCTCTTTTCTTGAAGGTCCCTAAGTCGTATCGGTCCGGAAAAATCGCTGGTGATAATCGATTCCACAAGGAAGTTGTGCGACGGAAGAAAAGTTCTTCTAAATCGCACAGTGGTGGACCGCCAATCATGCAGATGATATGGATGGTATCGCGAGTTTTGTCGCGATGTGCGATGGTGAAATTGAGCGACTGGAATTAGTCCGAACAATTCCTCAGAGCACTCCCCGTGGTAGATGCGATAAAATAGGCAAAGAGATGCAACATCTCTACGCATTGCCAGTGAGTCAAGCTGATCGGAAAGAACTCGGTCGTCGACGATTCAAACCGCTCTGCGCTGGATACGGTGAAGTGGAAGGAGCTGGCACTGAGCAGCCCCTGCCCAGAGATGGGAACAGTATTCCATGTCAGGCCGAACCTGCGCCTTGTAAAGTTGCAAGCGGTGTGCCCACATGAAATACTGTCCCGCTCTGCTGAGCAGGCCAAGCTTTTTAGAAACCAATTTGGCCTTCTCTTCCAAGTGACCACGAAACTGCACGTCACTCAATATGTTGACACCGAGGATACCGATAATGGCTGAGGCAACAAGGGGAGTGCCTTGAAACTGAGGAGATACGACAAAGGGGTTCTTTTTAGCGGTAAACGCGCAAACTTGTATCTTCTGCGGATTGAACTGGACTAGATTTAGTCGCCCCCAGTCTGAGACTTTGTTCAACAAAGTCTCGACTGCAGACACAAGTTTGTTTCGGTACTCGGCGACGTTTTGCCGAGAAATATTGGCACGGCCCGTGTATAAAGCATCACCAGTGCTGTCGTCTGCATAGCAATGAATGTTACTGGTTTGCAACATATCATTGATATGCAGAAGAAACAGCGTTGGTGATAGCACGCATCTTGTGGAACACCAGCGTTAATGGGTTTGTAATCGGAGCATGCACCGTCTACTACGACCTTGATGTTCCAATCTGCAAGAAAACTGGTGACCCAATAGCACAATTTCTCGGGAAGCCCATAGGAAGGCAGCTTCGAAAGAAGCGCTTTGTGCCTAACCCGATCAAAAGCCTTCGCTATGTCCAAACTAACGACAATACACAATAATAAGTATTTATTTCGCTAATTACAGTATAATATTAGGTACGACACAATTTGCTTATATAAACAAATGAATGACTCAATATTAATCAACGAATACAAAGAGTCATAGACTACAAACGTAACTTTTTTTTTTTGTTTATTAAATGGAGGCGAAGGAAACTAAGCATACAGCCATCTCGCGAGATTTTGAGTAATTAACCCTTTAACCAGCAACACCGTAATATCACGAATATATTCAACTGATTGTAAATAATTTTATGGTTTTTACCATAACAAAAAAATTGAATGGCGATTTTCAAGGGTGAAATATCGATTCACTGGATCAATACAGTACTGCGTATCAATTTAAAAAATCGATCTTTTGGTCCTGAACAATCGATTCTTCAATTAATCGATCTCAGATCGCATCCCTAATCATGACATTGACAACCGGACTGACGGACAAGCATGTGTAATGAAGTTCCTATTCCTAATAACTTCTCGATTGTGTTGTTCTACTAACCACTACTAACGTAATACGGAATATAGGAAACCACGTAGTGATTTATGTCTTTAGGTTAACCTATGTGAGATTGGGAACGTGTAGTTTATATCTGAAAATTCAAAAAAGCTATTTTGAAATAGGTTAGAATTAGTTCACCTTTCAATCTCTTCAAAAAGATTTGTATAAAATCATGGCTGACATTTCTGGTGAAAAATTGTCAAAGAAGTGAGTATTGAGCGACACTTGTAAAAATGTTCACTTCGAAGACGCTATCTATTTTAGCTGGTACCCGGACAAATAGAAGTCCTTTTGCACTTTGTCGTTTTACAAATTTATCCTCTGCAATAAATAAACGGTTGGTTTGGTTGGCTTAGTAAAAATATGGTTCAATAGGTGAAACTTATATTTGCATTTTTTTTTTCAATACTTACAGTGAGTTGAAACGTCGCATGAAAGCCGAACAGAAATTAAAAGAAAAAGCTGAAAAGGCTGCTCAGCAACCGGCTACAACGGCAGAGAAGAAACCTGCTAAAACTGAGGAAGAAATCAGCCCCAATGAATACTATAAATTAAGAACAGCAGCAGTTGCTGCACTAAAAAATGGTACTAAAGATGATCATCCATATCCTCATAAATTCACTGTGACAATATCATTAGAAGATTTCATTGAAAAATACAACAATTTGAACAGTGGGGAGGTATTAGAAAATGTCACATTAACAGTAGCTGGTAGAATTCATTCCATTCGTGAATCTGGAGCCAAATTAATCTTTTACGATTTAAGAGCTGAAGGTGTCAAAATTCAGGTATTGCATAAATTATTTTTTAATCTTAAGTGTACAATGTCATCAAATGTTTTATCTTATTAGTTTCTATAAAATTATTTACGCTTTGTGTTAGTTTTTAAATGCTATAAGTTTATTTATAAACTAGAATCGTAAACTTTATGTACATAAAAATATATATGAAAAATTAATATTTCCAAAACTATATATTTTATGCAGTAGAATAATTTAAGATTCTACTCTCCTTTTAAAAGACTTTAGGATTTGTACATTGTGTTAGTAATTAATTAATCAAAAAAAAATTATTATTTCAGGTAATGGCTAATGCTAAAATGTATAATTCTGAAGAGAAGTTTGCCAATGATACAGATAAGCTTAGGCGAGGTGATATTATTGGATGCATAGGGCATCCTGGAAAAACCAAAAAAGGAGAACTTTCTATTGTACCAAAAGAAATTAAACTTTTATCTCCATGCCTTCATATGTTGCCTCACTTGCATTTTGGCCTCAAAGACAAGGAAACAAGATTTAGGAAGAGGTACTTAGATCTTATTTTAAATGATAAGGTAATTATTTCGCATTCTACACAAGTGTTAACAATTAATATTAACTATATTATTGGGTGTGTTCCGATATACACTGTGACCACTGTAAGGTGTGATGTCAATTCAGTATAATGTGAAACCGTTCCTTTTTAATTTGCTCTACTGATTACTGTTTAAAATGGACAGCAGTCCAGTATACTGTCATCCCCATTTTTCTACACTGTTTTCAAATGATAATATTTATGTACACATTATTTTCAAATAAATTTGCATAATAGCCGTAAATATATGATCACATGATCAAAGTACTGAGAGCACCTTACTTTAAAAGCACCAATGCTCACGGTACAAAAATGGCGATGATTTATAGTCATATACATACCTAGGACACTGCAAGTGGTATACTGGTAGTTGATAACGGAACAAATTATTCACCAGTGAGAACACTGAGCAGTGCTCACAGTGCATATCGGAACACGACCATAAACTAGCATATAAAAGACGTCCTAGAAGGGATGACTTATTTTAATCAATTCATTAATAGGTGCCACTATTTGTTGTATACTGTGGCTGACGTACCCTTAAGTTCTTAGTGGTGTAGGAAAGCATAGTGAAAAAATCTGCAAGTCTACAAAATAAAAGGACATGTGAAGACCATCAATACACACTGGAGCTTTGTAGCTTAATGTAACTTATGAGTTTTCTGTGTGAATATTACTATAGTATAATAATATATTAATAGTGAGCATAAGTAAGTATGTAGGAATATAGAACCGATTAAACTATAACCAACAAAGAAAAAAATGACAAGGTTATAGATATTTTAGTACAGCGTGATGTCATTTCTAAATTTGTCGCTTGCTGTCCATGTACTGTTCACTGGATATGTTATGATAGGCCACCATAAAAGCATCAACCTTTGGTAAGTTGTAAGATTAAACTGTAACAAAGCCATAATTCATAACTATTATTCATACAATAATCTTTACAAAATACTAACCCTTCATTTCAAAATATTACTTACTTAATGAATTAAACCAACCACAAGTGATGAATTGATTTGATTGGGGCTGAGAGATGAACACCATAAGAGTGAGTGTTCACCGTGTAGTGAATGACGATATTGCCAGTAGCGGGTGCTGGCACCGCGTCTTGAATTAATCATCTAGAAGTTCTAAATGACTTCATAATCTCTTAACCGATGTATGCCATAATGTCAGGAAAGCATAAACACATAAACTAATAGGCTTAAGTCCAGAATTCTGTTAAGGCTCATTGCAGTATAACCCTCTCAGGTATGAGAAATGCAAAAACCAACAATAATAATAATAATAATGCTTTATTTCACCAATAAATTTTAACAAATAAATGTAAAGTAATGTAAATTAAATTAATGGGTTGTATAAAGAAGAAGAGATATCACAAATTTATGCAAATTATTAACCCCATTTCACTGTCACACACAGGTGAGGCAAATTTTCTATACTAGAGCAAAAATCATATCATACATCAGACGTTTCCTTGATGGCATGGGCTTTCTTGAAATTGAAACACCAATGATGAACATGATACCTGGAGGTGCTACAGCGAAGCCTTTTGTAACCCATCATAATGAGTTAAACATGGATCTCTACATGAGAATAGCCCCAGAATTGTATCACAAGATGTTAGTTGTTGGTGGCTTAGACAGAGTATATGAAATTGGTCGACAATTCAGAAATGAGGGCATTGACTTAACACATAATCCAGAATTCACTACTTGTGAATTTTATATGGCATATGCAGATTATAATGATCTCATAACAATAACAGAGACAATGATTTCTGGAATGGTCAAGAATATACATGGCACCTACAAGGTAACATTTTCTATTATTTTTTTTAAATCTTAACTTTAATAATTAACAACATAATATTATGCATGTCTTCATTTTTCAATGAGAATAACCCTTTTAAGAAACCTTTCTACCATTATTGTCTTGCGATTTATAAAATTATATCCAAAATCAAGTCAGGGGCACACCCTTATTCCAGTCTTTTAATGCAAATAATAACTTCAGGAATTTGTGCTATTTTAATTAAAGCACAACACATTAAGTTAGATCACAGGATAAGACTTGTTATATGAATCTTTTTATTGTCTTTCAATGTTATGCTTACCAGGTTTTATACAGTTTATAATAAATTTCAAGAAATATTAAATTACTCACAGAATCCCAGGCTATTGGCAAATCCTCTCTAGATTTTAATATTAATCCTTTCATCTGTATTTGAGCAAAAAAGGAGCATCTGGTGCCAAATTATTTTTGGATATCAAATTCTTAAAAAAAACCCTAAGTTTAATGAGCAATATGTATGGATGCATTATCCATCTGAAGATGCCACAAGTGCATGGGTGATTTGTGCACAAAATTATTAAACCCTACAAATACAAACCTCTGTAGCAAACAAACTTCTGTATACCAGGAAGCTGTAACTGTCTTCTGTTTATCAAGCATATATTTTATTTGCATAAATATAAGAAATCACTATACTGTTAAGGGGGAAGCTCCAATACCCCCGCCATATATTTTTGTTTTCACAATATACGTTAAACACAGACACTATTTGTTTAAAACTAATCATTATATCACTTTTCTACACTGAAATTGACCTTATTGGGAAATAACTTACAGTATTTATTAAGAAAAACAAGTGTGAAATCTAGGAAAATTTTGACACTTCTTTAGTAGTGAGAGTGAATTTTGACAACTTGACTAGCAAAAGCGCCAAAAACATGGTTTAAACATTGGCACGCTAGATGGCGTGCAGACGATATTGTTGTCCAACAAATACCATTATTCGTAGGTAGATATTATGCAACGATGCCGTACTTCCTAATTTTGAACTAGATGCACGAAGAAAAAGCAATGCCAAACTTCCTTGTCTTGTTTGACTGTAATAAAATTTAAACATTCTAAAGTAAATCTCGATTGTATAGGGATAGGATTTGCACGCGGAATTTCTTGCGATTTATAGAGTACGTGAGGGTAATACGTGAGGGTCACTTTCTTATAACTCAAAAACGACAGCCTAATTTGCATAGGTGGCTTTGTAATAAGATAGCTCTTCATCAGTAAGGGGTCAAAAGGCCGCCGCTTTATCGATGCCATTTTGACAGTTGATATTATAGTAAGTACGTGAGGGTAATATGGTCACCTTAAGCATTATCGCCCTATAAAAGCAAAATTAGGAGGAGAACAGAGACAAAAACACAAAGTCGTATACTATAACTAATATATCAAGAAAAAATAGCAAACAAGCTTTGGAAATAATTAAGAACACTTCGAAAAATCTACTTAAAAAAACTAACTACACTACACAATACAAAAATCGACTAAAATGTTTACAATAATATCAACTGTCAAATCGTCGATAAAGGAGCGCCTTTTTGACCCTTTATTATTTGATAGACTGATCAAGAGCTATCGTATCACAGAGCGTTCTATGCAAACGACGCTGTAGTTTTTGAGTTATAAGAAAGTGACAATATTAACCGGATGACCATATTACCCTCACCTACTATAGTTAGTTTTTTTTTTTTTTAAATAAAACTAATTTTACGGATTTTATCGCGTATATTAACTTATTTTATATTCCCGATGTTTCGGGCACTTTTCAGCACCCATGGTCACGGGGGGGACTGAGGTGTATGACGTCCCAAACGGCTACCTTCAGATTAAAATTTTTTGTTTTTTAAGTTGATTTTCGAAGCGTTGTTAATTATTGCCACGGCCTGTTTGTTATTTCTTTCTATATTAGTTGTAGTATACGACATTGTGTATTTGTCTCTGTCCTCCTCCTAGTTTTGGTTTTATAAGGCGGCAAAACTTAAGGTGACCATATTACCCTCACGTACCTTATTATATTTTTGTATGATTTTCATTGATTCAATTTGCAATTTTTTTTTATAGGATAAGGGTGACAAACGAGCACACAGTCCATCTGATGGTAAGTGGTTGCTGTGGCCCATAGACATCTACATCTATCTTCGATTACGAATCAAAATGCAGATGCGTTGTCACCCGTGAGGACTAAGATGGAATGCCTTGTTTCCAGTAAAAAGGGTCTCCGGTTCTCTACACTCACCATACGAAATTAATTAGGTATTCTGTGAGAGCGTGGTCCTTCCCCGGTCGAGCCGACCTGTTTGTGCTACAACCATAATATAGCTGCAGCATGGCGTATAATATTTGATTTGATTCCAATATAATACAATATATTATAATTAATTGTAGGTATAGTAATTAATTATTCAAAATACGCAATTTTGTTTTCGGTGGTATTAGAAACGCAAGTTGGCCCGTGATTTCAAATCTCGTTACAATACTAATTACCTATGTCATACGTGTTGAGTACAAAACTACAAAGTCAGTGTTTTGGTTGAATATTTTTTCAACAATAAATAAAATTATAAATTGGTAAGCCACCAAATTAGTCACAAAATTAATTTTACAAACATTTGCAAAATATAGTTTTGCGGGGTTACGTAAAAATACCTATTACGTATTTTGCAAACAGTTTCAGAGAGACACATATTATTATTAGCTTGTTTTATTTTGTTGTAGTACCAAGCTCAAGGTCGCGTCGTATCGTTTGTTACCTACGGTCCTGGATTTTTTTAGTTGATTTGTCCTTGGATAACAGATGAAAATAATGGTTATGTATTTAATATTAATTTTATTTTATCATGGTTATTAGATTAATAATAATTTATTTATTAATAAAATGTTTATCGATAAAATAAGTATAAATATTAAACTTTATAAAAATAGAATAGAAATAAATGTAAGTAGGTATATTATTTAAAAATTGGTAAACATGTATACGAGCCATAGTAGCTCAGATGGTTAGCGCTCACTGCAAATTTCACACTACGCGAGCAACCCGAGTTCGAGAGCTCCGCGATGTTAGCACCATAGAAGTATTAGGCTTAGAACCGCAGTAGGCGCACGCAAAGTGAAGCCATTTCAAGTTAGCCTTTAAAGGCTAAGTACGACTTTTGGCGCGTCAGTACTCGAGGCCACGTAGTCGTGTAAACAGCTCGCACAATTTTTCAAATAAAAGACGTATGTACTGTGAAAGGGTGTCACAACTCATTACATAATCACGAAAAAAATGTAAAAATCTCATTTAACGGTTAAGTACTGTCTAGCATCTTATATTTTAGTAAAAAACATTTATCAAAATTAAATAATATATAATAAATTTGACAGACGCCAATATAATGAAAATGTTGCTAGGCATAGTAAAATATTGTACACCATTTTTTCTTATTATTATAATTATAAAAAAATGCATATTGAAAAAAAATACATACATACTGCCAATAGTCTCATTCACATATAAATAGATATTTTATTTGCCAAATATTATTAAGGTTAACATTTGCCACGAAAAAAAAATATGTTGATTTTATTTTGTTTTGATAATGTGCCGTTGTTTTTACCTTTTTATGGTATGTGTTTTAGAATAAATAACATAGCCGATTATTATTTTTTTTATTCTAATTCACATGTATTTAACATTTGAAGTTCGATTCTTTTATGAATCTAAAAAGATAACATTTCGAGGATAGCGTCATCAAAGCGGCAGTTGTTTAGAAAACAGTTGCAGTTTCAGGGTCATTAGGAGATATTTTTTTAAGTACTTGGGTATATTTTTTTTAAAACATTTTGAATTTCATGTTTTATTTGAATAGTTATCTCCTTCCGAATCTTATTTTGTTATAATGCAAAACATAATATCCAATAAAGTAATAATAATAATCACTTGAAGCTGACCGCACTCTTAAGTCTCGTGATTCCTTCTAATATTATATCCATTCTGTGAAATTTGTACGTTGTAACATTTACGTAGAAACCGATTTAAATTAAATATATCACGTAGAATCTTAGAATGGCAAGAATCGAGATCAGTGTATGCTTTATTATTCGGTTGAAGCCACGGGCCACATCCAAAGTTAGTAAGGAATAACTAATGACAAAATATCTGACAGCTAAAATGATTATCAGATCACTATTCACTTATTAAGTGTAAGTGGGACTAGTTTGGAAAAACTGGAAGAAATAGACGTAGGCATTTGCCTCCTCCATTTCTTCCACTTCTCTATATATCATAGAATAAGGCCATTGAGTATTATATAAAAATTAATATTTACAAATAATTTAAGATTTTATGGAAGATAAATAACAAATATTTAAATAAATATATAATTTTTATACGTGGTAGAGCCATGCTGCAGCTATATTAGTAGTATAGTTGTAGCACGAATGGGTCGGTTCAACCGGTGAAGGACCACGCTTTCACAGAATACCAGCGTAAAATAGCAGCTTAACACTGCTGTGTTTCGTATAGTGAGTGTAGAGAACCGGAGATCCTATTTACTGGAAGAGAGGCATTCTATCTTATTCCTCACGGGTGACATCGCATCTGCATTTTGATATGCAAAGGAGGATAAATATAGTTGTCTATGGGTCACAGCAACCACTTACCATCAGATGGAGTGTGTGCTCGTTTGTCGCCCTATCTATAATAAAAATACCACTTCTAACAGAATAATATAATTACATAATAGATTTGTGAATATAACACAAGATATTACGTATATAAATAACTTAAATATTACACAAGTTAACAACAATAAATAATGTTACATTTTTCTCTTTGCAAATAGTTAATAATCCATTATAAACGCAATCTAAATATTTATTCCATGACGTTGTCTACTATTACATTATCCCCACTTTTTGGGGAAAATGTCATTAACTTGCAAACATTACTCATTTGCTTGTGTGCGTGTAGGCAAGCGTAATTACAGGCCGCTTATGCACACGTTCATTGTGTTGTTGCTTCAACTTTGAACGGAATTTTGAATGTCACTATCACTCTATGTGTAATTACTCTAAGGTTAGCACCTCATGTGCAGAATTTCAATTGACCAATTATACCATCTGAAATGTCAGAAATTGGTCTTAAAAGGTCAGTCGGTCTTATTAATTGGTCAGCGTTAGAATTTTTTTTATTAAGGTTTAAAGTTTTTCAAACCTTAATAAAAAAGCTCTTTAAACTCTTTCGCGAAAAATATATAAAAAATAAAAAATATGCGCGATTGAGAAGCATTCGCTGATAATTGGTCAGCTTACATAAATTTTTGGTCAGTTTAATTTAATATTAAAAAAAATTAAGTAAGTTGAGCTCCGCGATGTTAGCACCTCATCTGCGGAATTTCAATTGACCAATTATACCATCTGAAAGGTCAGAAATTGGTCATAAAAGGTCAGTCGGTCTTATTAATTGGTCAGCGTTAGGATTTTTTTTTAATAAGGGTTAAAGTTTTTCAAGGTCATTGAGAAATTTTAGCACCTCATTCGCGAAAAATATAAAAAATATGTGCGATCAAGAAGCATTCGCTGATAATTTGTCTGCTGAGAAATTTTCGGTGTTTTAAGACCTTGAAAAACTTTAACCCTTAATAAAAATGTTTCTAACGCTGACCAATTAATAAGATCAACTGACCTTTCAGATGGTATAATTGGTAAAACGAAATTCCGCACATGAGGTGCTAACATCGCGGAGCTCAACTTATTTAATTTTTTTAATATTAAATTAAACTGACCAAATATTTATATAAGCGGACCAATTATCAGCGAATGCTTCTCGATCGCACATATTTTTTATTTTTTTTTCGCGAATGAGGTGCTAAAATTTCTCAATGACCTTGAAAACTTTAACCCTTAATAAAAGAAATTCTAATGCTGACCAATTAATAAGACCGACTGACCTTTTATGACCAATTTCTGACCTTTCGGATGGTATAATTCATATAAGTCAATCGAAATTCCGCACGTGAGGTGCTAACATCGCGGAGCTGAGTTCGAGCCCTGCCGGCACCGATAAATTTGTTAATTGCACCACGGCGGACTCTTTTTTTTGCCCTAAAAGTAATCTAATAAAAAAATAATCAACAAGTCAAATGATTTTTGTTTTACTAAAAGCTTTTGTAGTTGTGTGTGCTTTGAAATTAGGAAATATTTTTTCACCTTCCTGGTAATTATCGCATACTAAATCGTGTTTTCTGCCGACTTCCAAAAAGGAGACGGTAACCTCATAACTCTTTACTGCGTGAACCGATTTCGATGATTCTTTTTTTACTTGAAAGCTGGTACTTCCCGTCTGGTCCCATATGAATTTGATCAAGGTCAGACCAATCGTTTTTGAGTTATTCTTAATTACTTATATTGAAGTCGGCAGTACAAAATTTTTAGTTATATGTTTATGTAATGTCAAATTTTCGTAATAATCGGTTATGTTGCAAATCATCTGTGTTATTAGTTTTGAGTGAATAGGCGTGTTACTTCAAATACTTGTTTTGATCATTAATTTCAATAGTGTAAGGTTATAAAATAAAACTGCGTTTTATTGTTCTTAGTGTTGACATAATTTATTTTCCAAGATTATTATTGATTTAAATAGTTTGTTTACGCCTACAAATATAAGTTAAAAAAGTTAAAGTTATAGCCTATATACACGTCCCACTGCTGGGCACAGGCCCCCTCTCATTTCTGAGAGGGTTTTAGGGGCAAGGAAAGGTCCGCCGCGCTGCCCCAATGCGTGTTGGCGAACTTCACATCTTTTCGAAATATATATATATATATATATATATATATATATATATTTCTTATTTATCAGACATGCAGGTTTCCTCACGATGTTTTCCTTCACCGCCGAGCACGTGGTAAATCAGCACTTAAAATTGCAATTAACAATTTCATTGGTGCCGGTGGGGTTCGAACCCGGGTTTCTCGCGTACTGTGAAACTTACAGCGAGTGCTAACCATCTGAGTTATCACGGCTCATTTTACAAATATAACTTTTATTTTTATAACATAATCGTAAAATATTGGTATTCAGTTGAATCCGGTTTGACTGGGAGCCGACCCCAATATAGTTGGGAAAAAGGCTAGGCAGATGATGAATTGGCATTCTGTAGTTCTGCCTACCCATACAGAAAAAAGGAAATCATTTTTTTTTTCATTCACGTCTTCTGATGTTCAATTTTGTAATAAAAATGTAGGGACTAAGAATTAACCCACGTCAGTGTGTGTAAACAACACAATTCAATGACAGATGTTATTTTTGGACTTTGTGTTGAATTATGTGGATTTTGAGGCAATGATATGACCTAGTAAAATAAAGTATAATGTACGAGTATCGCGATTGCTTCTTCTACGACCTAATAATGTTCCAATTACACAAAAATCCAAATAAACTAAAAAATGAGGACTTCAGCGTCATCTCGCGGGAACAGACCATATGTTTCACCTTAAAATGTGTGTTTGAACCTTATTTTAACTTATTTATATTTTGACTATTTAAACTAAAAGGTAATTGTTTAAATATCACTTGGAGGTTTTGGATTATGAACACATTATTTTTAACATACACGTTGCAGCTAACATAAGCACATTTAAAAATATGTTAATTTTTAGATTAAATACCACCCTGATGGACCTGAAGGAGAAGAACTCGAAATTGATTTTACACCTCCATTTGCCCGAGTTCCAATGATTGCTACATTGGAAAAAGTTCTGAATGTTAAATTGCCAGCTGCTGATAAATTAGACACTCCTGAAGCCAATACACTTCTTAGCCAGTTGTGTGAAAAACATGAGGTAAAATAATGAGTCATTGAATATAATTAAATATAAATAAGTCCTTGTTATAAAAATTAATGAACCTTTGAATTTTACTATGGATTGATTATTAAATATAATTTATTGCAGGTTGAGTGTCCACCACCAAGGACAACAGCAAGACTTCTTGATAAACTTGTTGGAGAGTTTCTTGAAGAGAAATGTATAAACCCAACATTTATATTGGACCATCCACAAATTATGAGTCCATTATCCAAGTACCACAGGGATGTACCAGGCCTGACGGAAAGGTAATACTTGTGACTACCCACAAATATTTATATAGTGGGAGTGTAGTTTTACGAAAACCTATAGTAAGGTTTACAGTATTTGAAAAATTGCAAATATGTTATGTAATGAAATACTGCCTTCTATTAGTAATTGTGCACACTTATTAATGTTAGTTTAAACTTCGATACTAATTTAAGGTCGGTCTGTCTACCTCTGTTATATAATTTTACTACATATATTTAGATTAGACGTGGTTCTTTTTTGCACAAACAAAAAAGGTTTTGTCATGTTTAAAAATAAAGATGAAATATGTTTGATGTGCGATCTTTAACTTCCACAAGTTTCGTTTTTTTTTTAAATTTAGCTAAACATGCAACTGTTTCAGATTTGAACTATTTGTAATGAAAAAAGAAATATGCAATGCATATACTGAGTTGAACGACCCTGCGACCCAACGTGAGCGATTTGAGCAACAGGCTAAGGATAGAGCTGCTGGGGATGATGAAACACCACCAACTGATGAAGCATTTTGCATGGCCCTAGAGTATGGTCTGCCTCCTACAGCTGGTTGGGGAATTGGAATTGACCGCCTCACAATGTTTTTAACAGACTCTAATAACATAAAGGTTTGTTTTTTTTTGGAATTTGTAGTTTGAACAACCCTACCCATGTTTCATTATAAGTTCAAAAATGGTTTCTTTAATGATGACTTGTATGACTTTTGGCAATGTTGCCACATCTTGAAGACTTTCAGTCATATCTTCGGCGGTAATTAACCTTTAATTTTTTTACAGGAGGTTTTGTTATTCCCAGCCATGAAACCGGATGATCCAAACAAGCATCAAACTGAAGATGAACATACTCCAGATGGACCTTCAATCCAAAATGGACCTAAATAACAAAATGTGTGTATCCCTGATCTATTTAACTAACTGTTAGCTAATCCATAATCTTTACTAGCAATAAATAATTGTAAACTACACAGTTGTTTTTTTTTTATTATAAAATATATCTTGGTGCAATGTGCCCACCTTAAAAAATATTGAAAGAAAAATAAGAATAATTTATTTGTCAGAATGTTTGTACAATATGACGGAAATAATACAATTAGAGACCATAACATTCAACTAAATTAATAGTGTGCAAATATATTAATATGTGGTTTATATCTGGTATAGTAGTAGTACGAATGGGTCGGCTTGACTGAGGAAGTACCACACTCTCACAGGATACCTGTGTAAAATAACAGGTTAACACTGCTGTTTCGTATGGTGAGTGTAGAGAACTGAAGACCGTTTTTACTGCAATTGAGGCATTTGATCTTAGTCCTCACGGGTTACAACATATCTACATTTTGATCCGTAATCGAGTATAGATGTAGATGTCTATGGGCCACAGCAACCACTTACCATCAGGTGGACTGTGTGCTCGTTTGTCACTTATCATATTAAAGAAGTATCAGGTGTTAATCAGAAGAATAAAAATTTACGTAACCGATAATTCATTAAGCATTTCAGTCATACAATTTCAAATAAGCAATTATATAAAATTAGATTCAAAAATACAGCACAAATTTAATTATTTCTTTATAAAAGATTTTACTTTTCTTTTGATTTTGCATGTTTTTGATCCTTTCATTTTTTATCTCCATTCCAATAAGTGTAAAAAGTTCGAAATTTTGTTGTATACAATAGAACGGGTCAATAGTTTCCCACACACATCTTTTGCAGGACGCATCCACCAAGGCCCTAGCAACGGGTCGTCCCGGCTCTCATGGGACGGTGGGAAAATGCCTATGGTCGAAAATAAAGTGCTTAGTTTTGTTAGATGCAGGGTTGGCACACAATGTGTTTTGTAAGAAAATAAAAAACCAATTGACAGCTCTGTGATTCAGTGGCTTAGTAATGAGTTGCAGCATTAAATGCTGCGGGTTTAAATCCCTCATGGATCAAGTATTTGTATGGTTTGTATGGAACTTTTTATTCCATACTCTGTGGTGCCCATCGGAGGCAGATCCCAACCATGGTTTGGTCACTCCTGTAAAATAACATCACGCTAAAGCAGGAGTGCTACCGGGCATGGGCTGGCGCATCAACGTCTCGGGATGTAAACACCAGCGCTCTTAAAAAGAAGTAAAATTCTGCCTCCAGGTCCTTCAATAGCGTCATTGCCAAGGCAAGGTTTGACCACATCGGCAGAATTGGCGAGAAGCTAGTTCGCCCTCCTTCGGGAATCCGTGCATTCTGGTGTCTAGCCAAGGCTGTCGAAGGGAACTTTTGTCAGCCATCTCTGCACAGAGAGGACGACTCACTGGCCCATGCCGCAAAGGAGAAAGCCGATCTGTTAAGCACTCTCTTTGCGTCCAACTCGACTCTAGATGACGGGGGTAACACACCGCCGACCATCCCGCGGTGTGAGTGCTCCATGCCGGATGTGCGGTTTACACAGCGCTCGGTTCGCAAAGCACTCTTCTCCCTTGACGTCAGCAAGTCGAGTGGGCCTGATGGAGTCCCTCCCATTGTGCTGAAGACGTGTGCTCCGGAGTTGGCACCGGTTTTAACGCGTATTTTCCAGTACTCCTACTCCCATGGCGTAGTCCTTTCATGGAAGACAGCTTTGGTCCACTCGATCCCTTAAAAAGATGACCGCTCAGACCCGTCCAACTACAGGCCTATCGCCATTACCTCGTTGTTCTCCAAAATAATGGAATCCATTATAAACTGCCAGCTCATGAGGTACCTTGAGGATCACTAGCCGATTAGTGACCGCCAGTACGATTTTCGTCGGGGTCGATCAGCTGATGATCTTCTGGTCTACCTGACTCATAGATGGGCGGAGGCAGTAAGAGTCCAAGGGGAAGGCATTGGCCGTTAGTTTGGACATAGCGAAGGCCTTCGATCTGGTCTGGCACAAAGCGCTACTTTAGAAGCTTCCTTCCTATGGGCTTCTCGAGAAATTGTGCAAATGGATCACCAGTTTCCTTGCTGATCGGAGCATCAAGGTCGTAGTAGACGGTGCATGCTCTGATCTCAAGCCTACCAACGCTGGTGTTCCACAAGGCTGCGTGCTATCACCAACGCTGTTTCTCCTACATATCAATGATATGTTGTAAACTGGTAACATTCATTCCTATGCAGACGACAGCACTGGTGATGCCTTATATACCGGCCGTGCCAATATTTCTTGAGAAAACGTCGCCGAGTACCGGGACAAACTTGTGTCTAAAGTCGAGTCTTTGCTGAAGAAAGTCTCGGATTGGGGGCGACTAAATCTAGTCCAGTTCAATCCCCAGAAGACACAAGCTTGCGCGTTTAGCGCTAAAAAGAACCCCTTTGTCGTATCTTCTCAGTTTCAAGGCACTCCCCTTCTGCCTCAGCTAGCATCGGAATCCTCGGCGTCGACATATCGAATAGTGTGCAGTTTCGTTGTCACTTGGAAGGGAAGGCCAAATTGGCCTCTAAAAAGCTTGGCGTGCTCAGCAGAGCGAGACAGTATTTCATGCCGGCACATCGCTTGCAACTTTACAAAGCGCAAGTTCGGCCTCACATGGAATACTGTTCTCATCTCTGGGCCGGGGCACCCCAGTGCCAGCTTCTTCCACTTGACGTCCACGAATTGTCGACGACAGAGTTCTTTCTGATCGGCTGGATACACTGGCACTGCGTAGGGATGTTGCATCTCTTTGCATTTTCTATCGAATTTATCATGGGGAGTGCTCTGAGGAATTGTTCGGATTAATTCCAGCCAGCAAATTTCACGAACGCACATCGCGTCAAAATCTACGATACCATCCTCACCATCTGGATGCTTGGCGGTCCACAACTGTGCGTTTTCCTAGTTTTCTTCCTTGTACAACTTCTCTGTGGAATTGTTTACCATCGGCAATTTTTCTGGACCGATACGACTTAGGGACCTTCAAGAAAAGAGCTTACACCTATCTAAAAGGCCGGCAACATATCTGCAATTCCCCTTGTGTTGCAGTTGTTCATGAGCAGCGGTAGTCACTTACCATCAGGTGAGCCGCATGCTCATTTGCCCCCTCTTCTATAAAAAAAAATACAAAATGAAAAACAATTTAATTTAATTTTAATAACAAACAAAAACTATCAAACAGACCTATTTCCTGTAGAATAAAGCTGACAATTCGGGCTGCATTTCCTTGCCAAATGGTTATACTAAGACATTGGGCAAAGATAGAACCAGCCCTTTTGTCTACAACAGAGATGACCAGTTGTGGATACAATTCCTTTAGAAGCTTAACCACACATGGACTGCATCGAGCGATAATCTCTGCAAATGGTACATTGCCATCTCCTAAAAACTCATATTTGCACCATTTACTCAGTTCAGCCATGGCTGATCATGCTCACATCTTTACACAAAGTTTTTGTAAGAATCAAGATCAATATTTTTAAAGTATTTATAGTATTATTTTTTCAATTATGTATACATAATATAAAATGGCATGTATGTACTTCGCCATCCGGAAAAGAGGAACCTTTAAATAGTTATACCAATAGTTACACTAGCAGTAAGAGTAAGAATAGCACAACTGCTTGACAAGAAATTCATTTCTAAACAAAGCATTTCACAATTGTGCAATTTAGTTTTCATATCAAAACACTGCCACTATCTGGAACTCATAATGGCCATTATTGAAATAATTATTACAAGTTCATTTAATCCATATTCCTCAGGTAAAACAACCTGGAACAACATAGCTTACTCATAAACAAATCCTAAAAATAAAAGTCACTAAAATACTTTCATCTTCAATATACTGATGTAATTTTTATCACTTATGTATCATCATATTCTATTACATTATCTTCTAGATCCTGGGTGGAGTTGTAATGTTCTCCTAAACTGTACATGTGTCTATGATATGTGATAATTAGTGATGGGCCCTCAAATTCTTCTCCTTGTTGTATTGATGCAGGCCCAGTTGCTTGAATAACAGTTATAGGACATTTCAAATAATTTGATAATGCTCTTATTTCTATTTGTCCACCCCATACTTTAGTACTGATAATTTTTTCACAATATTCTTCAAACTCAGTATCTGTAAGCATGTCACATGTTTCTGGATGACTCATAAAAGGCATGAAATCTTCTTTATGTTCTTTTATATACTTTGAAGTGTTTTGTCTAAGTTTATCCACAGGTATAGACTGTTGTTTTTTGGCAAGTATCTGATGTGAAATAGCTTGATATAAACAATCACCATCAGAAGGAATAGGATAAACCTTTAGTTTCATTTCTTTTAATATGTTACTTATAGCTTGATTTTCTGTATTTCTAGGTCCATGGATATTTTCTTTTTCCTGTAACTTTATCTGTTGTTCCCTTTCTCTTTCTTGTTGTTCCCTTTTTTCTCTTCGTTTTTGAGCTTTTGATACTTTGACTTTATTGGGCTCATTTTCATTTAAGTTTCCTACTTCAGTATCTGGGGGAGACTCTTTGAATGTCAATTCTATTTCTTTTTTGTGACGATTGTCCAGTTCTGTCTCTAACCTTGCGATTTCTGCAGTAAGTTCTTTTTTCTTTGTTTTATCATTTTTTGCTACCTTTTTTAATGACTGAATATGTGCTTGAAGTTCTTTTTTTTCTTTTCGATGCTTATTTTCTAGTAACTCTAATTCATTACTTGAACCACTTCTCTCTTCCATTATATTTATTTAATCTATAACACCTAAAACAAAGATGATAACATTTTGTATGAATAAATCACAAAAAATATGTTATTGATTTAATGGTTAATTGGTATTTTTTTTAGTGTTCATAGATACTTCATAAGATACTAATAGTTGAGGTAACTTGGTGATAAAATATCAAAGATTACATATAAATTATTAATAAGTACCAAATGATGTGACCAAATGGGTGGGATGGAATAGGTTAGGATTGTAGAACAATCACTATATTATAATATTTTACAAGCTATCAAACTAAACTAATTTACATCGAATATATACATATTATGATACAGCAAATATCTATCAATTTGCCTCAAAAACACCTTGACAGTTCACACTATTTAATAAAGCTCATTGAGGTTAGGTTATTTATGTTTTTTAAAAGAGATCTAGACTCATACAGCCTAGTATGGAGTGTATTCTGTGTACAATAGTTCCCCAAATAAGATGATACGTGAACAAGGAAGTAGGATGAGTAAGCTCTATATATCTTATAGGTCGCTCAGTGAGCTACGGAGAGGGCTATGTTTGGAGTTTCTCTGCATGATATATTTAAAAATTAGGATATCCGTAGAAGAAGCAAAAAAACCTACCGGATCAGGTTAGGATTGTAGAACAATCACTATATTATAATATTTTACAAGCTATCAAACTAAACTAATTTACATCGAATATATACATATCACAATACGTAGCATGTGAATGTTTGGAATATAATGTTATATTCCAAACATTCACATGCATGTTCCAAACTCCCGAAACCTTTCAGCTCGAGTTACAAAACCGTTTTCAGTGCTTAGAAGAATTACAAGCTCGTGGAAACTGTCCATGCGGTCGGAGCTAAGTTCTGCAAGACCCGCCGCAGAAGAACACAAAAACTCTCCGATCACACTCTTAATCTCTTGGCTGTTAGACGGGAGATGAAGCTACATTCTTCAACAGATTTGACAGCATACAGGCTACTGAAAAGACATATCTCCAAATGCATGCGGCGGGACTTGCGCAACTTCAATACAGCTTGTATTGAAGAAGCAATCGAGTGGAACCAAGGCTCCAAAGTCTTTGCCAGAGATCTGTCTGCCAGAAAGAGCCAACTGTCAAAGCTGAAGACCGAGTGTGGCAGCATCGTTTCCGGAACACCTGAGATTTTGAGTGAGATCGAGAGGTTCTATGGGCAGCTGTACACGTCATCGTTGGAGCCACACGCAAGTGTGAGTAACGATCCTAGAGCGAGTCTTATCCGACACTATTCCGAAGATCCCGGACGTCAGTCTGAGCGAGATTAGAATGGCTCTCCAGCACCTTAAAAACGGCAAGTCCTCGGGCGAGGATGGAATTACAGCAGAGCTTTTGAAAGCGGGTAGAAGACCGGAACTTGAAGTCCTTCAGTAGCTCTTTAATTCCGTTCTCCATGGTGGCATTACACCGGAGGCGTGGAGCAGAAGTGCGGTGGTCTAGTTCTTCAAGAAAGGTGACAACGCTCTCTTGAAGAGCTACAGACCGATTTTCCTTCTGAGCCGCGTGTACGTGCTGTTTTCAAAAGTCATTACGAATCGTCTCGCGCGCAGACTTGACGACTTCCAGCCTCCCGAACAAGCCGGTTTCCGAAAGGGCTTTAGCACCATAGACCACATACATACCTTTCGGAAAATTGTACAGAAGTCCGAAGAGTACAATTTGCCACTATGTTTGGCGTATGTGGACTATGAGAAAGCTATTGATTCCGTCGAAATTTGGGCGGTGCTGCAATCCTTTCAGCGGTGCCAAGTTGACTGTCGGTATATCGAAATGCTGAAGTGTTTGTACAGTAGAGCTACGATGGCTATCCGAGTACAGAACCAGAGTCCGAAACCTATCCATTTGCAGAGAGGTGTAAGATAGGGTGATGTTATATCCCCGAAAGTCTTCACCGCTGCATTGGAAGATGTTTTCAAGCTTCTGGACTGGAAAGGATACGGTATTAACATCAATGGCGAGTACATCACTCACCTTCGATTTGCCGACGATATAGTCCTTATGGCAGAATCGCTGAAGGATCTAAGCACTATGCTCAATGACCTCAATAGTGTTTCCCAACGGATAGGTCTTAAGATGAACATGGACAAAACAAAGATAATGTTTAATGTCCATGTCACACCTATGTCGGTAGTTGTTGGGAGCACTAAGCCCGAAGTTGTTGAGGAGTATGTTTACCTAGGACAAATAGTCCAACTTCTACCGAGAGGACTAGGTAAGTCCAACTTCGACCGAGAGGTCAATCGACGGATTCAACTCTACTGGGCAGCATTCGGGAAACTACGACACATCTTCTCGTCAGACATACCTCAAAACCTTAAAACGAAATTGTACAACCAGTGCGTATTGCCAGTGATGACTTACGGATCTGAGACGTGGTCCTTCACTGCTAGCCGTATGAGGAAACTCAAGGTCGCTCAGCGAGCTATGGAGAGGGCTATGCTCGGGGTTTCTCTGCGCGATAAACCTAAAAAAAATTCTTAGTAGAACCAGAGTAACCGACATAGCCCAACGAATTAGTAAGCTGAAGTGGCAGTGGGCCGGCCATATAGCTCGAAGAACCGACAACCGATGGGGAAGAATGGTTCTTGAGTGGCAGCCTCGTACCGGTAGGCGAAGTGTAGGGCGAACCCCACGAGATGGAGTGACGACATGGTAAGGCATGCAGGAAATCGATGGATGCAGGTGGCTCAGGACCGTGCTTTGTGTCATTCCTTGGGGGAGGCCTATGTTCAGCAGTGGACTTATAAAAGGCTGTAATGATGATGATGAATGATGATATACATATGATACAGCAAATATCTATCTATTTGCTTCAAGTATATATAAAAATACCTTGACAGTTGATACTATTTAATAAAGCTCATGGTCTTCTGTACAATTTGCCGAAGGTTAAGTATGTGTTCTACGGTACTAGAGCCTTTTCGGAAACCGGCTTGTTCGGAAGGCTGGAAGTCGTCGCGTCTGCGTGCGAGACGATTCGTAATGACTCTCGAAAGCAACACGTAGACGCGGCTCAAATGGGAAATCGGTCTGTACTTCTTCAAGAGAGCGTTTTCGCCTTTCTTGAAGAATAAGACCACCGCACTTCTGTTCCACCCCTCCGGAGTAGCCCCACTATGGAGGACGGAATTAAAGAGCTTCTAAAGTACTCCAAGTACCGGTTTTCCACCCGCTTTCAGAAACTCCGACGTAATTCCATCCTCGGAGTAGTGTCAGATAAAACCTGCTCTTGGATCGTTACTCGCACTTGCGTATGGTTCCAACGATAACGTGACAACTGCCACACTCAGTATTCAGCTTCGACAATTCGCTCTTTCTGGCAGACAGATTTCTGGCAAAGACTTTGGAGCCTTAGTTGCTCTCGATCACTTCTTCAATACGAGCTGTATTGAAGTTGCGTAAATCAATTGGAGAGTAAAGCATTTGGAGATCTGCCTGTTCAGCTGCCTATATGCTGTCGAATTTGTTGAAGATTACACCTTCATTTCCCGTCTAATAGTCTCATGATGAAGAGTGTGATCGGAGAGTTTTTGTGTCCTTCTGCGGTGGGTCTTGCAGAATTTAGCTCCAAACGTACAGTTTCCAGGAGGTTGTCATTCGTATCGACCACTGCATTGCAGTCTTCTAGGCACTGAAAAGGGTGTTGTAAATCGAGCCGAAAGGTTTCGGGACTTTGGATTAGAGCACGAGGGGGATGGAACGTTGACTTCATTAGACGAGAACTCTCCAACCAACTTAACGTTTAGATTCAGTGTGCCTTTCACCATTCGGTGATCGCTGCGAGTTTTCACCCTCCCGATCACTGAGACATCACTGAACAGTTGTCCTCTGGTCGTCAAAATGAAATCAATCTCATTTTTTGTCGAACCGTCGGTGCTTGACCAGGTCCATTTCCTGTGGGGCCGCTTCTGGAAGAAAGAGTTCATAGTAAAGAGTCCCTCTTTTTCCATGAAGTCGGCCAGCTGCTGGCCCCTTGCGATCCAGTGCCCTATTCCAAATTTCCCTACCTTCATCTCACCGGTCCCTCTTCTGTCTCGTTTTGCGTTGAAGTCTCCCATTAACACTGTGTAGTGGGTTTTGGAGGAATGCATGGCTTTAGAGGTATCCTCATACATTTCCTCTACCTCCTCATCGGGGTGTGCCGAGGTTGGTGCGTAAACCTGTATGACCTTCAGCGAATACCGTTTGGTGATTCTGAGTATAAGAAACGCAACCCTCGTCGACACACACCCAATCTTTACAACGTTGTTAAAGAGAGAATTGTGGACCGAATCCGGCACCTCCTTGGGACAGATGGCAACATGTCTATCTCTTCTTCTAGCTTCAAGATTTTCTCGACATCCAAGGGAAGATATGTGGTAGTAGATATTCTTAACCGCCACTACACGCCTAGTTATTGAGTTTATAGTGTTTTTTTTTTTAACAAACGGGTACCGAAATTTTTTATTGCATTATTATTGGTTACATAATCAACATAGAGTCCGTTGCACACAAACGCTGTAGTCACATGCACACTCAGTTGACTCTGGAGATGGGCTATGTGATGATTTTTCTGTATCAATGACTGCATGACAATGATACAAAAATATCAATAGCGGGAACAATGACAAAATCATTAATGATTTTGATTTGAGTATAAGATCACGGCACTTCAATTATGAGTAGATACTGAAATGATAGCGGAACGTTTTAATGTCTTAAAAAAAAATGGCGGCCCTTTGATTCCTGTCACTCAAGTGAAAGATCGGGTTTCACAAGCTCTTGGAATTGGTGCAAAAACACTATATAATATAAATAAAGAAAAATTTGGTGCTTCTGGAAGTGAAGATAATGTTTTACGCACTCCTAAGAAAAAACGAAGACAAAAGCCCGTGACAGGTGTTTATGTTTTTGATGCAGATGCAATAAGAAACCACATATATGGTTATTATACTAGGAACGAGTTTCCAACTAGACGTTTGCTTTTGGTCTCTTTAAAAGAAGCTGGCTTGTTTAAAGGCGGTAAAACGGCGTTGTCAAAACTATTGCACGAAATTGGGTTTGAATATAAAAAAACGAATAAAAGGAAAATATTAATGGAAAGATTTGATTTAATTATTAAAAGGAGCGAGTTTTTAAGAGAAGCCAGAAAAATCGAGTCTTGGGACAACGTCGTTTTTGTTGACGAAACATGGTTAAATGCGAACCACACTGTGTCACGCTCTTGGACTGACGAAACAAAAGCATCAACCTCAAAGGTTCCAATTGGAAAAGGATCGCGACTGATAATTTGTCACGCCGGTTCTGCTGGAAGTGGTTTCTTTGAAAATGGACTGCTGGCTTTCGCGTCAAAAAGTACTTCCGATTACCACGAGGAGATGGATACAGACACTTTTACGAATTGGTTCGAAAATCAATTATTACCCAGCCTGCCAGAGCCTTCTATCATAATAATGGACAACGCTTCATATCACTCGAAACAAGTGAATAAAGCGCCTACTCAGGCCGAAAAGAAAGCTGATCTCGTAGCATGGCTACACCAAAATGGAATTGAAACTACTGCCGAAATGCTAAAGTCTGACTTAGTAAAGTTGGTACGCGAAAATAAAACATCAAGAGTCCGTTATGAAGTAGATGAGATAGCTCTAGCACGTGGACATCGGGTACTTCGAATTCCGCCTTATCACTGCCAGTACAATGCCATTGAGCTAATATGGGCACAAATCAAAGGTATTGTTTTTTATCGCATAAGTTATGAATATGAACAATTTGTACTATTATAACATCCAATATTCAGCATATAAGTAAAAAGATACATAACTAAGAAATAAATATCTCATGTCCCTTACATGTAGGTAATTGTGTAACATTTCGTTTATTTAATGTAATAAATTAACGTTATTTAATATTTACATTACAGGTTACGCAGCTCTTAATAATACGACTCCGCCATTCAGTACTAATAAAATGATGGGTCTATTAAAAGATGCTTGCAGCAAAATAACGAAAGAAGATTGGGTCAAGGTCGTCGAAAAGACTCGAAAACTAATAACAGAAGATTATGAACGCGATATAAGAGTGGACACCATTATAGAGAATGAAATTGTCATACAAGTGACTGATAGCGATGACAGCTCTGGCGAATCTGGTTCAGAGTCTGAATAATTGTTTTAATAAATGATAGGTAGTCATTTATTAAAACATCTTGTACCTACTCTATTCATTAAAATGTGTAACAGTGTTTACAAATTTGTTTTATTTTGATATGTCCTCGACCAATTATCTACGTCCATCAAGGATACTCCACCTAATAAAGAACCTGTGTCTTTAACTATTATTGTTTTGATTTTATTTAATTACACACTATACTAGAATATTTAAAACAAACTGTTCCCAAATGATATTAGGGTTACTGGTTGAGTCACTTCACTAGTATTGTCAATTCGTCATGTGTCAAATCGGTAATAACTCAGCGGCCGGACTATAGTGACTTTATCATTTGTTATTTAGTAGTTAGTAGGCATGGATCGACTTTGTGAGTTAGCCCGCCGTTAGGTATTGATTTATAATCATGGAAATCTTCAATATGTTTCCATTTGTGATATTTGCTGCAAGATAATTAAGACTTTTGAGTATTTCATGGCAATCTGGCGTTCTTACAAATAAATGCCTGGCGTAAAAACTTGGTCGCGTAAATATGCACCTTCAAGTAATATTCCAATCTTACCTTCATGCTTTTTCCAGGCTTAGGACTGGCGAAGACTGGCAAAATAATACTAGTAACTAATAAAAAATATATCATTGTGCTTTTCTTTGGCGCATTTATAAAATTGGTATATTTACAATGATCAAATTGAGGTACTTACTTTACTTCTTAGTACTTATTTGTTATATATTTTTTGTTTTTATTTTTTGTACTTTTTTGTTGTATTTTTTTATATCTATTTGCAAATATTTAGATTTTCTCGCCTGTTGTACCGAATTATTGATTATAATTGACGTTTAAAAACATTAGTTGTTTTACTTTTGAAATACCTAGGCGAGTGCGTCTTTCAGATACCATGGTACCAGCACGTGAAAATACCCTTTCACAAGGCACTGATGTTGCCAGCACACAGTATTTATTCAAAACTAATTTTGCCAAATTTGGGTAAATATGTTCGTGCTTTTTCCACCATTGAAGTGGAGTGTCGTATTCTGATCCCATTAGAAGGATGTCGTCGTCCAGGTACCTTTGAACTTCCCCAATCGCTCTTGACAACGGGGTTCCTTTAGGCTTTATTTTGGCAATTGCTGTCCTATAAAAATTCCATACGGATGGTTCTGTATCACTTCCGAGTTTAGTGTCGCAGCAAGAGTTGGAGTAGTAAATTGTTTTGCTTTTGCAATCGTCGCAGCTACCAATTCGATAACAACTTTTTTAGTTACTTCAGCCAAATGTTGTGAGAACATGAAAATTTTGAATCTAGGGTCTAAAAAAGTCGATAAGGCCTTTTTTGACTTTTTCAAAACCACTTTAACAACATCATGCAGGCCATCTCTTAACTAGTGTTTCTAGTGTTTGCAAAAGGCCCTGTGTAATTGGAATCACTTCTCCACCCGTGAAATATTTTTTTCCACTCATACGCGTAGACACTTCATCAAAGAGTTTAAGCACGCACTGCAAATCTTGAATAATCTTCCAATCATTTTCTTCAAGATATGTACCTTTAAAGTTGCTGAGTGGAAGTGTTGCAATTACAGCCTCTTTAAGTTGAACAAACCGTTGCAGCATATGCAAGTCAGAGTTCCACCGAGTTTCCACAGATTGAGTGAGCTTTTTTTTTTGCTGTTTTTGCCTCTGATTGTTGGACCTGATATTTTACAAACTTTTCTGTGGCCAAAGCGCTACGTTTGTAAAAAGCTACAATGTTCTTCACTTTGGTGATCGTCTGTTGCAATTTTTCAACGCTTAATCCACTCTTGACAATTAAATTTAAACAGTGTGCATAACACCCAAAATGGCGCCAATTCAGCTCACTCGTGATAGCGGAAACTATGTTACTCGCGTTGTCAGACACAACTATGGTAATTTTGTCTGTAATCTTCCAAGTCGATGCACATGTTCTTAAGTGAGCTGCTAAGTTTATGGCGGTATGATGTCCAGGGAGGACTTCACACTGTAGGAGAAGCGACTTCAAAATATAGTTTTGGTCGATGTAATGAGCTATTATGGCCATATATGACTCATTTGCTTTTGATGTCCAACAGTCGGTGGTGAGGCATACACTTTTTGCTTCTTCAGCAACTTTTGTTTTTGTTTCATTCAAAACTTGTTGGTACATTGATGGCAGTAAAGTGTTTGAAAGATACTTACGACTAGATAGTTGGTAAATGGCATTTAGACCATGAACAAATTCAACAAAGCCCTTGTCTTCCACAATGCTGAATGGTTGAAAATCTAATATTAACAATTTCATAAGCAGTCTATTTAACCTTTCTTGTTCAGATGGTGTAATTTTTTTTCTTTGAGTGAATTGAACTATTGTAGGTTGTCAAACTAAAGTCTGCTGAATAACGCGTGGTTGTGGCAATGGATTACCCTCGGATGAGTCACCAGCAGAAGAAGCAACAACAGACCGTTGAATAAGATTTTGGGATCCTGATGGATTAGAAGGGTCAGCTTCCTGTTCCAAAGGTTGTTCTGAACTATTTTGGTGCATACACATATTCCTCCGTTCATCTTGAATTTCAACCGTAGGGTGTTTTCTTAAAATATGTTTTTTTAAACACAATTCCACACTGCACAATTTACACACTGCTGTTTTTTCACCAACGGATTCAATGTCAAAATGTACCCACAGGTTGGATGTTTTTCTTAAAGTTGAAGCCATTTTTTAATATTTACTAATTAAATAAGAACGTTAGGTACGTTGCGTAAAAGAAGTATTTTTTAGGTAGGACTACAATAACTAACTTAGTACCTAACACTTAAATGACTACACTTGGATTTAAAATCTGTAATACAATTCAATATTCACTATAACGTCACAAGTCAATTAACACATTACACTACGTACTTGGTATGCATAAAATTACATTAGGTAAGAGTGGTCGTTCTTGTCTAATCAAAACAATGATTTACGAAATACTAAATAAACGCTAGCGCACTTCTCGAGTTCCCGCGCAAACGTAAACAATGAAGTTAAACTTTCACTTCGTTGAAAGCATTGTTGCCGTTTCGTGGACCCAGTCATGCGATCGAGCATCTGTGGCGCAGCCTCGCAAAAGTCGCAGCGTGGCAATTTGAACCGTAGCGCCCGAGCGATACGGTCCGTACGAATCACCGAAGTTCGCGTTCATTCATTCGATTCGAGTAATGATTTAAAATCATTGATGATTTTGTCGTTGTCATTGCACGATGAAATGATTTTAAAATATCGATGATTTTAACATGTGACATGATATCGGACTCATCTCTAGTTGACTCAGCGACTACCAGCGCGTCGCACGTGTTTTAGTGAGTGAATCAGACGATATTGTTTATGCGTGAGTTACGGCGGACACGTTTCCTGTAGTTAAGCGTACTAAACGCCCTTTGCAATCTACAGAAAAACAAATTATATATAATTTGTTTAAATCATTTAAAGATTCTGATTGTAATAGATCACATAATGAGATTGCCCAGACAAAATCAAATTCAATAGAAATTCATGTCTCTACGGTGTACAAGGTAAACATGTTTACTTAATTGAAAATAATATTATATTATACATTATTTATTGTAAATTGATAAATTAATTAAATACAAATTGGTAAATTACAAATTACTAATTACGTCAAACTAAATATAAATAAAAACTAAACAAACTAAATTGTAAATTAATTGCATTGCATCATTTTATATTATAGATATTACTATTACGGGGGATGAGTCGCTCGCGTCCGTAGGCTTCGACCACCTAACCCTAGGCCCACCCTACACGTGTCCCCTGGGTGGTGCTAAACGAGCTACAAAGCCGAAACGACAGACTCGGCTCCTCGCCGTGTGGTAGCGGCGTAAAATCTACCACCCCTTATGTCGCACCATGAGCCAACAATTTAAAGAAATGGCCCCGAGTTCCCGGCACCCCTTTAATGGGGCAGGGGTTCGAAGAATCTCCGGGAGGAAAACCGGCGACGAGGTTCGCCACCCGTCCCGCCTTCTTTCATTTGTCAAGATTAATACTAAGCCTCATCGTCGCTATCCTAAACACTTGCTCTGCAAGTTTATAGAAATAATACGTCCTATCATAATGCTTTAAAAATGTGCCACCTCTACAATGAATTATTGATTAATAATAGTAAAAATATCAACATATTCAATAACAAAATAAACAATTTCAAAAAATCCGTATTAGATATACTTAGTAAATAAGGAATTCAAGGTTTAAAATGTAAATGTAAGTGTCCATTATTTTATAAAGATTTTTTTTTAATTTTTCACAACATAATATTTCGCTATACATGTAGGTTCTAAGTATTTGTGCTGTACAGTCGTTACTGTTACTTAATATCATGTTGTGTGCACATGTTTTGGAATACCATCCAGATCGTAACTTTGCACATATTATGTTCATGCTGTTCATGATTTAGTGTTATTCTGTTTTGTGTACCTAAATAAATAAATAAACAAGTCGGCACGCAAGTAATGAGCTCCCTAGTATTTTGGATTTTATTTTAGTTTATCTTGTTTATTTTTAGTAAATAAAATTGTTAATGTGGTATCACCACAGGGAAATTAACCTGATAATTACACATTTCACAGGTTAATTCTCAGGACGTCATCACTGCTATGATGCGTTTATTTTAGGTTGAAATTTATGTTGATTGCTGTTCAAAATATAGAATTACAATAAGTTTGTTAATTTTTTATATTTTACAGAGAAAAAGTCACGGTGTTAATAATTTGCATGATTTTTTGGATATATTTTTCATCAGACTATTTTACATGTACTCTAGAGATTGACTCAACTTTACCGAAATAATTGTTAATATTGATCTTAAATATTTATAATGAATCGATAGACTTGTAGCCTATGGGCTACAAGTCTATCGAGGAATGAAAATAAATGCTCGATTTGCGTTGTAAAAACGTAACTTTATTTTGATTTTTACTTTTTTGTACTACATTTTACTTTAATTTTGACTTATTTTGTGTTTGGTGTCCCACAAATTGGACCAAGGTGTTTTAGATAGAAGATAGACCGCGCGTTATCGAGACAGAACTGTAAGCACGAGTCAGAACAGTCTCAAAATGGCAAGGGCAACGTTATTAGTCACGAAAGGTCACGCGCGTAAATTATTTCTCTCGTTAGTATTTATTTGAACTTTCAGTTACTGTGGTGAAATGTGCAGTGCCAAGCTGCAAAAACGATTCACAGAGCAAACTAAGAAGAACAATGATATTTCTTTTCATCGATATGTAATGAGTGTCAAAAGGTGTAGTGGGGGGCGTGCGACCGGGGCAACACAGCACATGCCCCGCGCCTCGCGCTTCGGGTTTTCCCTCAATTAGAGCTAGTGCTGTGTCGCGTTATACTCAAATATTTTTAATAACATGATTTCTTTCGTAAAGAATTGTAATATAATTAAGAAGTTAAGATCCTTTGTTTCCTAACCCTATGGATCAATGTCTAAAATAAAACTTTCGAAAACTTTTTTAATAGGTACATAATAAAGGTAAATACGGTTAAAATACTTTTATAATTTTAAATTTTTAAAAAGCCGTGAATTGGAAATAAATAGGTGGTAACAATAAAAAATATAACAATAATTTTTGATGCATATTAATTAAGAGTGCTCAAATGCAATTATAATTTGATTTAAACGTTTTTATTAACACATTTCCTTGTCAAATATACTAAGTGGATAACTGTTATTGGCTTTTTCTAAAATAATTTGTAAAATTTGTTTATTACAGCATAGTAAGGCTGTTGTTATCCTAAAACTGGGAGTCCAACATCAGGAATTTTTTTTTCATCCATTTTATTGCTTCGTACATTTTTGAAGGCAAGGGTGGACTGACAAGATGGTTAGAGGAGCAATACCAGTGCTCTATACCCTGTACAACATAACTTGATCTTTTCGACAGATGGGTCTAGTGATGGGAAACAGAAAATATCTAGTATTGCAAAAACTAACGTTTTCTTATAGATACTTGTAACTGTGATGAGAAGGTGTGACTGAATGTTTTCAACTATTCAAAATAAATTAATTCATTCATCAATCAATCTTATTATACTATACATATAAAAACATTGGCTAGGTAAAAGACCATGGGTTATATTGTTCATATAATATTGAGTTAAAATCAAGGTTGAAAAATAAAATAAAATTTTCTCTTTAAAACATAGTTTTTAATCGGGAAGAGAAGGACAACCAAGATTTTTATCGTCGGAGTCGTTTTTTTTCTTTGTAACCGATATTTGTAACAGATACTGCTTGTTATTTGTGTCCCATCCAACCGACCGATGTAACATTGCACGAGCGTCCATTGTTTTCAGTTTTTCTATTTAAATCTTATTTTGAAGCAATAACACCACTAAAATTTTCGGAAAATGCCTGAATCTTTAATACTTTTGTGTTGTGTATCTATTTTTAAAATTTTTAACAATTTTTAAAAATATTAAAACAAGAAAATATTATGTTCGTCATTGCAAAGTTATGTCGATCGAAAATTTGAAATCTGTCAAAAAGATCAAGCTATGTTGTATATATGGAGTGTAGAGTACAAGAACCATCTTATAAGGGGCGAAAGTTGAAAAAGTGTCCTACTATTTACTGAAAATAGAGGTTCCAAAACCTACCACAATAGCGCTGGCGTCTGAAAAACTACGATATGAAGATAGCTGTTATGAACGAAGTGAAGTCAGCTGAATTCAAATATTTAAAAAATTTCATGACTAAAGTAGTTAGTAAAATGCCAGTATACAAAATCTCAACTAATTACGTAGTACAAAACCAAGCGGATTGGAGATGGTCCTCCTTCTACTCTACACTCCATAAACTATGGAGTGTAGAGAGGAGGACCATCTCTATACTGTGACAAGTGTCCCTAAAAAGTGTCCAATAAGGATGGCGCTGCAGTAGCATAGGATAATTTAAAAAAAGCGCCAAAAGTAATTAGAGTAAGATGGAGAAATAAACAAGGACCGACCAATCCACTTGGTTTTGTACTACGTAAATAGTTGAGGTTTTGTATACTGGCATTTTACTAACTACTCTAGTCATGAAATTTTTTAAATATTTTAATTCAGCTGACATCACTCCGTCTACAACAGCTATATTCATATCGTAGTTTTTCAGACGCCAGCGCTATTGTGGTAGGTTTTGGAACCTCTATTTTCAGTATATATTGGGACACTTTTTCAACTTTCGCACCTTATAAGATGGTTCTCCTTCTACTCTACACTCCATACCATAGTTGTACAGAGTATACGTATAGACTAGCTATTATTATATTATAATACTTATATATCTATTTATCTATGGTATTGCATCCATAGGGATCCGTCGGGGAGTTTTGGCGGGAGCTTGACCGGCGGCGGTTTGCTGCTCCTGTTTTATTGTTTAAATAATGGTTTGAAGTGGACTTTGATATGTAAAAGTGGTGCGTTTTTGTGTATTAAGTGCGCATGTGAACTATTATTGGAAACTGTGAAACAAGTGCTCTGATAGTGATGTGATTCTCAAAATAAGGTGCCTGTCTGCTTAGGCGCCTTGAGATACCATCGCCAACCGTCAGCTGTCTGCTGGCTCAAGTTACGGTCAAAATCTCCCAAGGGCTGCACAATGTGACGCATCAACATATTGTGAAGCAGTATACTATGAAGAATAATTATTATAATATAATATTGTAACTTCAGGCTCAGAAGGGCTGTACAATGTGACGCATCAACATATTGTGAAGCAGTATACTATGAAGAATAATTATTATAATATAATATTGTAACTTCAGGCTCAGAAGGGCTAGATCCCAGAGCCGTAAAACCAGTTATCAAGAAGAAGAAGAAGGGATCCGTCGGTGGACTGTGTTGGTCTATAGCATTATAGCCTCGACCGCGATAAGGGATACCATATGTCAGGATTTGACCTGACATAACAGGACTTTGAGCTTCTGTCAGGATTGCGTTCGGATTTAGAAAATGTTACAATTTTTTGATTTTTCAACAAAATACGACAAGTTTTTGCGTGAGAGAGGTGTAATCTGCAAAGTAATTGATCAGCGAGAGTGCACAAAACCAATTATTGATTTGTTTTATTTTCACGCATGTCAATCACGTTTGCAACAAAATGTCAGGACTTCTCTTACTATGGAAATGAGATTATTTCTCAGGACTTTTCAATTTTTCATCTGGTAACCCTAACCGCGATGGACTTTAATAATATTTGTCATAATTTAATTTTAAGCTGGCAAGTTCGTATTGACATCACAGCTGTTCGTTTCTTCTAGCTGTGTTCCACTGTGTTCTATCTATCATAAAATAGTAACTAAATAATAATTATCAGAAAGTGAGTGAGGTTTCGTATAATAGTGTTTATTAAGGTAAATAAAAAGAAAATTATATTACCTATAAAAAGAATTGCGACGTTGACCAGCGTTTGTCGTCGTTGCTTAATTGTTATTTTTATTTCTCTTGCATTCTCTTGAAAATCAAGTACAAGTACATAGTGCTCTGATATTTATTTTATGTTTTTGTTATTGCATTGGATCGTAAATTTCAGGTTCAGTCTTATGTTGACAGAGTTTTTGGATCATCCGTGAAAATTATCGTAATACTATGCCTCTTTTTGGTAAGTCTCAAAAAAGCCCTGCGGAGCTTGTGAGATCATTAAAAGACGCTGTTACGGCGTTAGAAAGAGGTGATAAGAAAGCCGAAAAAGCACAAGAAGATGTTAGCAAAAATTTGGTGAGCAAATTTTCTTTGTAGTGAATTCTCTTTCTATTACTTAAAAATGAACCAAAGACTAATATTTTTTTTTGATAGGTGTTGATAAAAAATATGCTATATGGTACGTCTGATGCAGAACCGCAAACTGATATCATAGTTGCCCAACTTGCACAGGAGCTCTACAATACCAATCTTCTTCTCCTCTTGATTCAAGTATGGTTTTAACCTATATCTAGATATTTATATCAAATTAATTTTTGTTTAAGTAATTAAAAGTGTATAAATGTTTTATCTAGAATTTAAACCGAATCGACTTTGAAGGAAAGAAAGATGTAGCTCAAGTTTTTAATAATGTTTTGAGACGTCAAATTGGAACCCGCTCACCTACAGTTGAGTACATATGTACTAAGCCAGAAATATTGTTCACCTTGATGTCTGGGTAATTTTTTTTTTTCAGTTATAGCTACTATAAATTATATTGCATGAACCTACTGTTTAACTTATAATCTTAACTTAGTTATCTCCAAAACCATGGAATTATTAAATTTTATATAATGTAATGTAATTTTATGTATGTTTAATTAAATTAGATTTTATGATAAAATTTTGCTAATATTAATAAATAAGTAAAATCTTGGTATGTTGTTCATAGAGAAAATTTTGTTTTTATTTTTTTTTGTTTTTATAAAATTAATAATTAAAATAATTAAGAAAATATTTATTGTAATCTCATATATCTACAAACTTTTAAGCCTACTGCTGGTCATAAGCATTTCTGAGAATGTTCTGGTTTGCATGGCTATTTGTTAACACCTAACTGATATCTACATACTGGTAATGCTGCTCACAATCACCTAATATAAAATTTGATTTTGAAATGCCTTAAGGAGGCCATTCACATAGTGACAATTGTACAGACTTTTTCAAAAACTTCAGTTGTATGCTACAGGTTCGATTGTGAATGGATTTGTCATAAAGCGCTGTCTACGACCAAGACCATGTAGATGGTTCAATTAAATTTTCATTGAATTTTGCGACACAACCGCATCTGTCGTAGCGTGACTTGTTGCATTTGTACTAATTGAACTGACATTGTGATGGCTTGGTCTAGCATTTGGGGGAGGTTTGAAAACAAAGATGAACTTAGATCCATATAATTAGCCTAGTTTCAGTGAAAGTTGACTGGAACTATACAAAAAGCTTTGAGTAAATCATAAATAAAACAATTTTTGCGTTAACTAATATACTTTCTGCTTTTCAAAGTATTTTTTGCCTTACAATTTATACTTTTCATTAGTTCAAATCATATTTAAAAACATAGACCATTAGTCTGCGAGGGCATGTTTTTCACATGCTGGTTGAAAGTTCTTCACTGTAAATGTCAAACCTCTCATCAAATCTTTGATTCTTGGGAAATAAAAAAATTGCATGGTGTGGGTACTGGACTGTGTCCAGGATGGGTCAAGGACTAATGATCGTACCTTTCTGCACCTTATTTTTTTTGGAGTTTTTTATTTTGTATTTTGGCCTTTGGTCTATCACATCTTGTCTTTAGTTCTCGTAGAGAAAGAATTTTAGGTGAAAATGTCAATACAGAGTTATGGACAACACAATACAGAATAAACATTGTTACGAGAGGGGAATAGCTCAAGCAGGGATTAAAGAATTAGGTTCCCACTAAAATTAATAATTAATAACTACAGTTTAATATTATACATTTTACCGTGCTTTGTGACATTCCTTGGAGGCCTATGTTCAGCAGTGGACTTGTAAAGGGCTGTAATGAATGAAAGAAAAAAAATATACATTTGAGTATAATTTGAAATAGTATTTACATACATGGAAGTATGTTTAGTTAAAAGGGTATTAATATTAACTGGTAGAAGGATTGGTTAGGGAAGGAAGGTTTATTTTGTATATGGTTGTGCTAGTAAGTTTCATTAGTATGTCTTTCATTGCATAAAATATTTTTTTAAGCTAAATTAGCAATAGACATTTAAGTTTCTTTATTTCTGGTCTTCTTGTTTATGATATGTAAATGACTATTAATTATCTATTTTATTTTATAGGTATGAACATCAGGAGATAGCATCTAACTGTGGTACAATGTTGCGAGAGTGTGCTAGATATGAGGCTTTGGCTAAAATTATGTTATATTCTGATGACTTTTACAATTTCTTCCGTTATGTAGAGGTGTCCACTTTTGATATTGCCTCTGATGCCTTTTCTACCTTTAAGGTATGTTTTGTTTAATTTTTGGGCTTTTAAGGCATTTTAATCTAATTATTGAAATATGGCAAAGTTATAAAAATAATTTGAGGTTTAACCAATAATAAAATTAATAAATGATCATTAATGTAAATAATATGAAGTCATGTCAAATAATATTAATTGTTAAATAAAAATTTCCCCCGCTTGAGTAGTAAGTCCCGCATGAGCGTGTGACTTAAACATGGTTTTGAAGTCACCGCTCACCGTGTACTATAAAATATATGAATATATAAGTCTGAATCATCTTGAATTTATAATCTTGACCATTTTTGCTCATTGTTAAATTGTTTCTTTCTCCATAATTTTCTCATACTTTCCTAAATTATATTTTTAATGATAAAAGTGACAGCATTTTATTAAGATTTATTCTAAAACATGTTTAAAACAAAAAATATTAAAATAGCATAACTCAGATAAATTAGAAGTATGTTCCGTATACATTATAATTTACTAGGTGGTGGCAGTACCTTTCTGCCTAGCAATCCAACTAGGTAGGTACCCTCTTATCTATTTTTGTTGCCAAATAGCAGTGCCCTGCACCCCTGTGTTCTGATCTGAAAGGTATAAAGACCCAGTAAAATGTGCGAGCCATTTCATATTAGTCCTCATTTTGTTTGTAGTTAGTTCCAGACGTACTTGGGCTGCAGTAGCCATGCCCATTAGGTGGACTACAAGTTCGTTTGTCACTAAAATACAACATAGGATACCTTTTTATAACAAATACTACTATACTTCTATACTTTTATATGTGGTAGAGCCATGCTGCAGCTATATCTATACAAATAAATAAAATTGAAGTGTCTGTTTGTAATGTCAAAATAACAGCTTTTTACTAAATGCATATGGAAGTAAAAATACGGTACCAATAACAAAAATACAATTTTTAAAGTTTTTGTCTGTCTGTCTGTTTGTTCCCGATTTTCACGGGATTTTCACTGGCAGATAGCTGATGTCACAAGAAGTAACTTAGGCTACTTTTATTTTAGAAAAAGAATTAGGGTTCCGCGCAAAAAAATTATAACCCCAAATAACACGCGGGCGAAGTCGCGGGAAACAGCTAGTTAGTAGTATAGTTGTAGCACGAATGGGCCGGCTCGACTGGGAAAGGACCACGCTCTCACAGAATTTAGCTACTAATTAGCGTAAAATAGCAGCTTAACACTGCTGTGTTTCGTATGGTGAGTGTAGAGAACTGGAGACCCTTTTTATTGGAAAAGAGGCATTCCATCTTAGTCTTCACATGTCACAACGTATCTGCATTTTGATTTGCAAACGAAGATAGATGTAGATGTCTATGGGTCACAGCAACCACTTAACGTCAGGTGGACTGTGTGCTCGTTTGTCACCCTATCCTATAAGAAAAATACTACAGTTTAATTTATGGACAGCGAAGCGGGTGGAGAAACAGTTAATATAGGTGAATAACATGAGAAGTGGATGTAGTTATATGTGTTTTCTATTATTTACAGGAATTGCTAACGAGACACAAGATGTTATGTGCTGAATTCTTGGAAGCTAACTATGATAAAGTGTTTAGCCATTATCAACGTTTGTTAAATTCGGAGAATTATGTAACTCGACGGCAAAGTCTTAAGCTTCTTGGAGAGTTGCTTTTGGACCGCCACAACTTTTCTATCATGACACGCTACATCACTAATCCCGATAATCTTAAACTTATGATGAACATGCTGAAAGAAAAATCACGTAATATACAATTTGAGGCCTTTCATGTTTTTAAGGTATGTTATTGAAGTTTTTTCATATGTGAAAATAATATGCTTCGACATTTCAAGTTATCTAGGCTCTGTGCCTTCCATATTTCAAAGACGTCTTTGTGCGTGTGTACTTGTGTGTGTCGGTCTGTTTGTCTGTCATATATTATCTGCACATATCTAATAGTGGATTTTGGGAAAGCACTTCAAGTATCGAAAAACCACCTTAACTTAGTTTTTTTGCCATTATCTCGGAAAACGAAGTGCGTTATGGGAAAATGTTCTAAAATAAAAAAAATGATTTATTAATTTAATGAAAATGGTTTTATCTACTCACTCCTCATTTTAACACTTAAGTTTGATGAAAAAAATTTTGCATATTTTTTTATGAAAAAAAAAATTGCCTAGATTACTCCTGACATTGCGGTCTATCTATTAGTGAATTTATATCACAATGGGTTCAGTTATTTCGGCGATTAATTGAGACAGACGGATAAAAATTCTTACAATGGTTATTCGTCGTATGAATGAGAATGAAAATAACCCTATGAGCATAATAGAAGCCAGTTATTTCGATATTACAGACAGATACATGTTTATATGTATAGTTTTTCCTTTAGTTCTCTTTACACTTAACATAAAGAGCTTTTTTGATAGAGCGAGTGATATAATTTTTTTTTGTAATATTGGCTAAATTTCATGCTTCATTTATTTCAGGTATTTGTAGCAAACCCCAATAAACCAAAACCAATATTGGACATCTTGTTAAGGAATCAAGACAAGTTAGTAGATTTCCTTACCAAATTCCATACGGATCGTTCTGAAGATGAACAGTTCAATGATGAGAAAGCTTACCTTATAAAGCAAATCAAAGAGCTTAAGCCGTTAGAACACTAACATTAATTGCATTTTATTATCGCCACTTCCTCCTCAGAAAGAAGTTAGTTATAGATGCTATTATATTTAAATGCTTCTAAGTCACCAGAGGGTGTTGTGCGCGCTGCGAAGACACGAAGGCTCTGTAATAAACATTGTAATTTTGATGGATTTTACATTTGGTCTGTGATGAGTCAAGGAAGAAAGTATATTTGTGCTACGAGCAAATTAACATTTTTAATAACGAATTGTAGGGATAGCATTATTTTAATGGTTTCACTTATATATTTTCTAAGTTGTTAAAACCATTTTTATTTCTTATGACGTGATTAGTGACAATCCTGAGGTCACATTGCAAATATTATATTCTATCACAATACCTTGTAAAGATCTAATTATTTGGACTTTGTAGACATACAATACAATGATATGATAGTACCCACAATCTACAAGGTACATGCAATATGACATTTATCTTATTTTATATTGTATGCTGATGTTTGAAATAAATTGTTGAAAGAGCTATATTTGTATATTTTAATATTGTCAGTATTGGTTATTTATTATATAGTAATATTATCTGTATATATATATGTATATATATTTTCACACAATCATTACTTTAAATACTTATAGTAAAACAAATGTTGTTTATTAACATTATTGCAAAATTTTACAGATATTTTTCATGTTACTTATCTATAGTTATCTAAATTTCTGTACTATGTTTTAATGTTTAAAATTTTTTATTTTGTCAGCATCATTAATAGGATTACATTCTATCAAACTGAATAAACTGAGATATTTATACAACATTATTTTATTTCGTGCGTTCCTAATTTTTAATTTAAATGTGTTCACAGGACTCTCATAAATATTTCATTAGCTTTTTCATTCTATCATTGTAGTAAAATTTCATCAATACAATTGGTAGAAGGAAAACATGTTCCAGATGCAGAATTACAGGATGTGAGGAGGTACATCTTAGCTATCAGATATGGCAACGCACCTTTAGTCTTTGTTAGAAATTAGTTGGAAGTGTACATCATAGAATTGTTATTTTTTTTTATTTATCTTTAAAGTACTAATGGCATTTCAGTAATAGTTAAGTGGTAACAAATCATTATGTATATAAGAGATATTATTGATTGAAAACTCCACATGTAAAACAAAAAAAAATCATTTTTAAAGTCTATCCAGAAGCATCTCTGTTAATTATTTATTAACTTCCTTCTGCGTAGCATTGAAAGGAAGTTAATGGTTTTAGCTGGCAGTCTGTTAGTCTGTATGCCGACACGAAAACTTCCGTTCCACTGGACCGATTGTTTTTAAATTTGGTATGTGGATACCTTGAGGTAGTAGCTCGGTCGAGTTTGAATTTGGGTCCTGTAGGTCAAAGGGCACCAGAGATATGGGATTCACGCAGAAGGAAGTTGTTTTTCTTGAATTTACATTCAACTCGTTATGTATGTTACGCAATATCTATTTCCCACAGGGGATGAAATTTTTAATGTAATTATATACGGCGTATCTCTTGTACATTAAGCTTGCGTTATTGTTTAGTCCACTCAAAAGAGTCAAATTAATTTAAAAAAGTACAAACCAAGTCAATACCTAAAGACAAGAAAATAATACTGATACCATTGAATAACTTCTGAAGTCGGGGTCTCCTAATTATTCGAATACACTTTGACTTTGCACGCTCAACAATCTTTCAAATCAAGTAATGCCCTGTACATTAACTTAAAGGGTTGTAGAGAGTGTAAGGACAAAACGTAGGCGAATAATAGTGCGGGGGATTTGTTTATTATTGAAGCTGTAATAGAAAAATAAAGGCTTTTTAGGGATGTCTTTGGATGTGGGCGCAATAGTTACCTGTAACAAGTGTCGATTTTTTATACATCACCGTCGAACCACTGTGTGTACGTCTGAACTAGCCAAGGAAGAAATAGTACTCCTATGACTTATAGGAAGAAATAGTTTCAATTCCGCTCTCCCTACCCTCCGCTGTCCTCCCCCGAGGAGGGGCTGCTGACGCTAGTTGGGCCATGCATGTGTACGTAAGCATTCCCGTGGCACTGCAAATATGCGGCGAAGGTGGAACACCATGGGGTTTAGTCGGTGCGAGTCCTACACAACTCGTCCTTACCGCCGCGAGTCTGGTATCCGTATAACTCCATGTTATAATTTTCGAGAATTAACAGGATCGGCTACTTCTACATCGAGATGGCAAGACCACGTTTTGTTTCATATCTATTACACACTAAGGTACTATTTTTTAAATATAGGTACCAAATAATACAAATTAAGTTATAGTAAAATACTGGTAAGGATTAATAGTGCGGGATTACACCATCTTGACGTTCACGGCAATTCGCGTTAGGTTCAATTCATGTTGACCGACGCAATCGAAGCGCCGCGAAACAATTCTCTTAGGTTAAATTATTGTTATGAAGTGTATAGTCATCGGTTTATTTTCCCTCAAACGATGGGTACAAATAATACAAATCTGCCACCATATCTGAACAGCTTCTAATGCTAGTCCCAATACTTGACATGTAATGAGGTGTTAGACGCTAAAGAACATTTCATTTTTACTTTCTTCCTTTGAGATCTTAGAACAATGTACATAAATTTTGGTCCGGCTAAGCTTTAACGACACCGTCGACACCCCATCGCTTTCCCGAATTCGCGTGCTTTCCTTCAAATTTGTGTAAATATGAGATGATATTTTATTTGAAAGAACAGATTTTGAATGATGTAACTACGTTAGAAATGTTGACAGTGCATGATAATCCAGCCCTTTTCATCCCGTGGGTGTCGTAAGACGCGATTTAGGGAAATAACAGGAAGGTATCTAAAAATCCCAGACCCGGGACAGGACTAGTCCCTGTAAAAAAATATAATTTACCTTTGCGAATAAGGTAAAGTACTCAATAGTCCATATCTAGTAGAAGAATCTACTTCGCCTGTAGACGTAAAATGATAAATAAAACACTTCTGGATATTTTTCTTGTTATTTTTAATAGACACAAGCATAATATTCAACTGTACATATCTCTCCTTACTCATTATCTGTACATTACTTTTGAAAGCAAACAGTTATCACAAACTTAACCGTAGAAGGGCAAATATTTACATGTTGACATTTATTAGATATCGAAGTGTAAATAAATAATTACGCTAAAGAAACAATTTAAAAAAATCAAGAATGATGCTTCTTTTGCAAAGTAACAGATAGTAGATTCTCAAAATATGTATTTAAATAAATACAAGGTACAAAATAGGGATCAATCTAAATTATATTTATATAATCTACAAAACAAATTTTTAATAATAAAACTTTAGCATAATAAAATGAAGTATTAAATTGAATAATACCTACCTAACCTACTGTGAAATAAAATAAAGTCTAATACATATTGGGTACAAGTGATTTGATAAACCATTATCAGCTAGCAGCTTTCGCTACATAAAACTTATGCAATATGTTAAAGAAAAACCTTGTCCCGTTCATGAAGGTGCGTTAGGTATTGTGATATGATTCTGTTCTTGTAATCTTTTTCAAACAATAAAAAAATACTCCGCAAGAAAATAAAATAAAATTTAATAAAATTAAATGGGGAAACTTACATGGTAACGACTGTGACCTTTGTTGATCCCAGGCTTCACTTATCAGTTTATTGTTCGTTCGTTAGAAACTGTTTACGTTTCTACATTTTGTTTGACGAGTTTAGCTAATTGGTTAAACAAAATGCAAACGCTGCAAAATTGCAGGTACTTCGGATACCGTCGTCGATGACGGTTTCTCAAGTTTATAAAAAATTGCTGAATTTTAAGCAAATTGTAGTGATAACATGTACCTATTATTAAATAACAATAACATTTGTATATTCATCAATATTGTTTTTTTTTGTATTGTGCTTTTTTGGATAGGACAGGGTGAATTTTTACATATTGTATATAAATCGTTATCTACTTTAAATTCTTCACAAACGTTACGTTGCCCCAAACTTAATGTAACATAAAAAGGCACAAACTTAACGCTTTAAAAAAATCTTACTTGTTGCGAGACTATTTATTAACAAAAAGTATAAACAAATTTGATGTTCATTTAAATTTTCAAATTTCTTGACAGCAAAATAACCGACACGATAAGACTAAGTATATGGAATTCTATTTAGTAAGTATATTAAAGTACATATACAATATAATTACGTAACCTAATATTATTATCTATTAATTTAAATTTTGTCGGGATGACTAAAAGGTCATTTTCTAATAAAGTATCAGTTATCAGGTGTTTTTTTTTTTTTCAAGTTTTGATGCACAAATTCCGTGCAATCGTTACATCGGTGCACAATATTGCAACATGCTAAATATCATTAATTACAGCTGCAGCAAACGGAATGTTTTTAAATAATTACAATATCCTACCTGTGTTATAATTTGACATGGGCAGTGATTTTTAATTATATTATTATAAATTTTTAAATGTACAATACCTATATCTGCCTACCAACTAAATGGGTTCACGATCTTAATAAGTAAGGCTTACGCTATTATAATATAGCTAGAATAAATATTAATATTATAAATTACGACTTTTTGAAGAATAAAAAATTTAAAAATCTTAGCAATCGTTTCAGTTTAAGGTACACGCCCACATGCTCGCATTACGTACCCATAGGACGGATTGTAACAAACGGGTTAGTTAGCGGTAAAGCGTCCACTGTATTAAGCAGCGATCGGATTACCGACGCCATGGCTATTAGCAACCATATTTTTTAATAATAGCGTTCGGATTTTCGTAGCGAGCGGACGAGCCGAAACTGTGTGCAAATACAAAATGAAAAGTGTGAAGAACTTGTCGTGATTGCTTGTTTGTTAGCAGAAGATGAGATATTTAAGAAGAGATCGCAACATGGAGAATATCATATGCTATTTCCTGGTATGCTAAACGACGACATAAAACGTCTTTCAGTATTTTCGTGTGTCTCACTAGGTGGCCCTCTTGGTTTTTGTTTGACTGGGCAAAATGCTTGCTTGCACTGCTATGTTCCAATCTGAAGGGTATACAGCCACTTTAATTACAGGATGTGAGGTATTTCACCTTAATCTAAAGGTAACAACGCACCTGTAGCCTTCTTTGTTTGAATTATTTTTAAATAAAAAAATATCCCATGCCAAATTTACAACTCTTCTTAACATCATGGAGTTTACGAAATTTTAATGGCGGTCGACAACGCTACGTCATTGGCACGACGGCTCACTACGGGCTAACGCGTGCGGTCCATCTACTGCGTATTAGGTGACGCACTTGTTTGACTTACCATACAAAGAATTCTAAGATCCGTCCGATGCGTACGATGCAAATTCAGCTTTATTGGTTATTATCACACGAGCTATTATGAGAGCAAGTATTATTACCACAATTTTGAAATTCTGTTGTTACATTAATAACGGTAAACGTGTTTCACTTTACTCCAAGTGTTTTTTACTTATTATAAAGCCTAATAAAATAGTGCTTGACTACAATTTCACCTGTGAGCGGTAAGTGGTCAGGAACCTCTAGATTGTAAATCGCGTTCTTATCCTAACAAAAGCCTGCCTATTCACTCTGTGTCTTGAAGACGCCCAAATTGTAATCGCTAAAAAATAGAAGCGGCCGAAATTATGCACATAATTAAAATAGAAGTCATAAGCAGTTTTATTTTCGGCATATTACATTTTTTTCGTTGTAAGAATATATGCTTTTTTTTTCTTCAAAATGTGATCGTATTTTATGTAAATTATTATAATTTATTACAATCCTTAAGAAAGCATTTAGATATCTTTATTTATAATTAGGTCAACATATCAATTTCAATCAATGAATATGAACATTGGATTGAACTCCATTTAGAAGTGTCTATGTCCATTTGTGAGTGATCAATTTACCAATGATAGATTTAAATGATTTTGTAAAAATAATAAAGATAAAATTTAATTGACAATAAAAAAAAAAGTTATAAAGGAACTTGATATCACTACTGATTTTAATTAAAATATCAATTTAATTTAAATTAATATATTACAATTGTTTAATACATTTTTTACCATTTCATATTTTTGAAAATGGAAGATTTGACATAAATTATAACTAACAAATCAATTACAGGTTTAATATGTTCATAATTGCACAAAATAGAATAGGAAGTAATAGCCTATAAATGTTCCACTACAGGCGGTAAATTTCTTAAATTTAATTATTCGGTAAATTTAATTAATTTCATAGACATAGATTTTCCTATGATTTTTTTCCCAACAATTGATTGAACAAAATTTCAATTAAAATTTCAGTGGAGCTGGCACTAGAGATTGAAAGGTTATTCTCGAATTGAATTTGTTAACATTTGAATCAAATTACCATTGAAACAAAAACGTAAGGCAACATGCGAAAAGCAATAGCCACTAGTTAGTTGATCAGAATTTAAATCACAGTACTTTGTGTAAAAAAAACTATTATAAAAACAGTGATTTATTGAGTTCAATTCGAAAAATTGGTGCAAAAATACAGAATGTGATCTATGTTAAATTTAAGATAGTGTTTGTATTGAAAACAATACTACTAAATTCGTACTAAAAACAGTAAGTTGCAATTTCAGTTATATATGATTTATCGACGCGGAAACGTTCGGCTGAGTTGCGGATATTTTGTAGCAGCACTTGAAATTGAGAGTTAAAATTAAATCCCTTCAAGAACCAATTGGTGCAGGAATTGTAGCGTACTAATTCAATATTACGCAAATTATTTCCGAAACAATGCGGCATGTTACCGATTACTCGATTGAGTATCTGAGAATGTCCCGAGTCAGTTACCGAGAGCAGGGAATACCTAAATGACGCAAGATGGAATCATGTATTACACCTTTTATCCAGTGTTGGAAAAAAAATCAAAATTTCATTTCCAGAGGAGTGGACCATTCTGTGACCAGTTTTTGTGGCAATATTTGAAGAATCGGGTGTACACAAGCAAATCAGATTTATTGTTTAAATAAAAAGCAAATATTCGTAAGATATCTACCTATCTTTGGGGCATTGAATCGAAGACGAAGTCTTCGAAAATTGATAAGATCAGGCGGCACGGCGGACATTAAGATGACATTATATTTAAAAAATAATTTCCCTTTCATTATCTTTCACATATATAAATAATATCTCGCGTGAGATGTCTTATAGTTTATTTAAGTAATTTATAAAATTCATAGCTATATATTTTTAATACTTTAATGTATGGCATGGCATGACATTTATCCAATGCTGAGATTCATATCAGCGTGAGATAAAAAAAAAACGGTATTCGTTATATAATATAGTTTGTAATTTAATGTAACCATGTCAATAAAAAGGTGTAATCATGAAGATATATTTATACATTGCATTTATTTCAAATATTGTCTATATTTATTTTGCTGGCACTTGATGTTTCCCGATTCGCGCTGCCTGTACCTTGCTATTAATTTTTTATTCGTATTATTCCTTATTTTCAGTTATAAATGTAACAACCGGCCTATGTGCTAGGTATGTCACGTACGTTTTAAAAAATTAAGAGGTGAATAATTTAATATGTAATTTGCATTTTCTTTAAAAAATCTAAGGAAGTACTTGACTACATGATGGTATAGTCTGTTCGCTAAGATACGGTCGCGTTTGTGTCGCGCCGCGCCGCCTTGACACGTGCCGCATTTTGTCAAAGGCACCGCTGCGACAACAAGGGTTGCGGCGTCCATTTATATTCGTATTTTATTACAATAACCATAATATACCATAATAAAATATTATTCTATTTTGTTTTTAGAATAGAAAAGTATGTCGTGGATTGATGGCGCCATAGTGTAACAAGCAGCGCCATCAAACAATGAGCTTTGCGAATCAATAATATCGTTACCGGAAACGCAAGCGCGCCCTGCCGCTTGGACACGATCGTCGGTAGAGGGGATGCAGCGAGGGCTAGAGAAGGGACCGAGTGTTGTGGGTTGTGGCAGTCGAGTTCAGACAGCCGGAGCGGATGCTCGTTACCGACGCACGTGTTTGTTTCTCGTGTAAAACCACTAGTCTAAATAAAGCTATTTTGATTTAAATAATCTTTCGTTCGTGTGCCCACATTCACGTAAAACCATGTCGGAGCGTTAAGAAAACCCGATGCTTCACATCTCGGCCACCCATGATGCGACAAGTATTTATTTAACAAACAGTAAAAAATAAATAAAATAAAAGCAAAATAATAAGTGCGCCTCCGGGTACCGGCACTATCTTAGCGAACAGACTATAAGTGGTATTCACTCCCCCTTGAAAAAATACACATTGTAATCAAATGGAAAGACAGATGCCGATAAAATTATTTCACACCTTTGCTGTACGCATGATGAACGACGAAGCAAACAATTTTATTTCATTTAATGTTTCATAAAGAAAAAAGAGATCGTCTAGATCTGAACACAAAATACAATGACGGAGTACACTTATGCTACATTTACACACATCTCACCCGTAACATCAAACATCTATAGACATTTTAAAACCTCACACTTTTACACTTAAGACGAATTAAATCAGTGTTTATTAGATATTAAAATAAGAATAATAATCTTTTTCGCCTTTTAGAGTTTGAATTTATCCGAATTAAAACTATAGGAAAATTTCAATGCCTATGTTTTTCTTTTATCTTTCGAAGACAAAATAGCAATATAGGTAACAGCTTTCTATAATATAACCAGGTTATCATGTGGTCTGATGCTTTTATTAGAAAACACGTTAATCAAAAAAAAAAATTAATTTAGTGCAAAAAGCGTTTACACGCACGTTGTAAATGTTGATAGCGATAGTAAGAATATTTTGTATTTCTAATGACAGTAAAATTATTTTTTCTTTTTCTTTAAATTTATAACTCTCTCGACCTCATTACTCCAAAAGTGCTATGAAGTATTACAGTAATTTGATACTTAAAGTACTTGCATATAAACAATTTTATTCATATTAACAACAAATTTTTCTAATAGATCACTTAACTCATGATTATTAGTTGTCCTGTGTTATTGGCGTAAACAAGCCCTTGCCCTGGTTGTGGCGCCCAACGTAGGCAATTCAGGCTAGTGAAACCATGTTCCCAGTTTTGTTCCAATTCTTTTATTGGCGATAAACCGGTTCGGCTTGTATTCTCTGTAAATAAGCAAACCCGTTATTAAAATATTTAAATCTAGTTTGCAAGAGATTTAGGCAAAGGATTTTGACGGTAATGAACATCGAAAATTGAAGTACCTTTATTTGTATGCATTATAAAAGGAGGAATTAAAATATATCATTGGATAAATACTAACACATACATAGATGTGCATTAAAAAGAATACCAAGTGTGTATGTCGGCGTTAAGTGTTAAGACAGAATAATAATAGGCCAAGTGTGAGTCGGACTCGCGCATGAAGGGTTCCGTACCATCGTAATACACGTTTCTAGTACAGAAGCCCCTCTTAATTTATAAATTATTTTAATATTTATTATTTGTTGTTATAGCGGCAACAGATATATTATATTCTGTGAAAATTTCAACTATCTAAAGATAAGGCCCGCTGACAGACGGACGGACAGCGGAGGCTTAGTAATAGAGTCCCGTTGGTTACCCTTTAGGTACGGAAATCTAAAACGAAGTGGACAATACACATATGATTGTTCCATTCATAACCTTCTAAACCAATTAAATGAAAGCATTTTGATTACATTCATGTGTGTATGAGCTAAAATCCCTTTGCCTCCCTGAACGGGAATACATTACAAAAACAAGAAGCTTGAGTTTTGGCGAGAACTAGACCACTAGGAGATTGCTGCTCCTGTATTATTGTTTTGAAGTGTATTTTGATGAGGAAAATTGGTAGAATTTTGTGTAAGCAACTTTGAGCCGTGTAAGCAATTTCACAGTACGCGAGCAACCCGGGTGCGATCCCCGCCGGCACCAATGAAATTGTTAATTGCAATTTTAAGTGCTGATTTACCACGTGCTCGGCGGTGAAGGAAAACTCGTGAGGAAACCTGAAATTAGAAAAAAAATAATTTCGGAGACAGTTCGCCAACACACATTGGGGCAGCGCGGCGGAGGAGGCCTGTTACCAGCAGTGGCACTTTTAAAGGCTGTAACTTTAACTTTTTAACATTTGTAATGTTTTAAAATGTTAATTGTTTAGCAACGCTAATTGGTAATATGTAATGGTAACAATGGTGTAGTGTGAATGATAACGTGTGACAATACATTGCTGTTTAAGGTTGGTTAGTATAGTTTTTTAATAAGGTCTCATTTGAGTACATTGAATTGAACAGCCTGCCAAAATCACCCTAATCTAATTGAATACATAATTGGTATCCCTATGAAGTCGTAATGAAGCAATTAGGGTTAAACTTTGTCGCTTTTGCACCGAAGTTCAGATTTGCTCTAAAAGAAATGAATCATAGCTAAAGTTTATTTATTTTGCGTTAAAATATCGGTTCGTTATATTAAATAAACATCTGTTTACTTGAGAATCTGAAAACTAATTGCACATATGCAGAATACGAACACGCTTTTTTATGAGTACAAGTCGCAATACGTAAGTCTAGCGCTGAACGAAACGTGGAGGGGATGCGCACGAATGCGACTGGAGAGCCAATCAGCGCGTGCGAACGATAGCCACAAAACAATCAGCGCGACTTATACGCAAGAAGCCAATCAGTGCGATGCGCAATAACAGTCACCGCTAGACTTTCGTGCCGCTGCTTATAGCGTACGTAGGTCTTGGAAAACCAGTATCTTTCCGGTAATCTATTGTGATTGCTACCATGGCTATTATTATTTACCGCTAAGTTTTACCCCTTTCAATTATTATTTGCTGGAGTTTCATATCATTGAGATCTTTTACTTCATCTGACAGTAGGTAGTTCGCATATAGAATCATGTTAAGCAAACTGCTATCAAGTATATCTACACTTGTTAATGTGTGAGATACTACAATCATTAAGGTGTGGAGGCGATTGCCTCAACCTTGGGTGTAAAATTGATTTTGTTGATTGATCAATTCATAAAAAAGCTGGTATTATTGAGAAATGACGGGCTTACCCAGAGGTTCAAGGCGATAGAGCAGCGCAAATACGTTATTCCTAGCGTGGGGCGTGGTTGTAAAGCGGCGGGAACCCAATCCCACCGCCAAGTGCCGAGCTGTAGGCGACAGTGCTACAGATACCGCACTCTGTTCTAATACAGCTGTGTGCAAGCAGTGACCTAGACGCGACCACTCCAATGAGTACACACCTGTAATATAATTACTTAGAATGATTACAGGTATTATGACTTCACTATATGTTTCTACTTTTTAACGTGGTGGAGCATTGGCACAGTTGAGCATTGCTGCAGTACGAATGGGTTATTCGACAACCCTCACACAAAATACCAGCTAAAATAACAGCTCGTGTTTCGGATGGTGAGCGTAGAGCGGAAACCCATTTTCCTGGAAACGAAGCAATCCATTTTAGTCTTTAGGGATGACAACGGATCTGTATTTTTTATTTTAAATCGATGTTAGATGTAGGTGTCTATGTGCCGCATCTACTTACCATCAGGTGAATTGTATGCCAAAAAATTATCTTAATAAAAAATGTATTATATATATTTCTTAGTGTAGCATAGTGAAGAGATTAAGAGTCGGCACAAACTCACGCAAAATTCATTATATAACCAATTAAGCGAATAGGTAACCAATTAACCTTACAACTTGTATGGTGCTTGCATTAACTAACCAAACGGGCAGTGGCATTGGGATTGGTCACTGTTGAACAAAGGGCTGCCCATAGATTGCCTCATAGGGAGGATAAATGCAATAGTTGGCACGCAGGCAAGCAGGTTGGCAACCATAGTTCTTTTTAAATTTATTATCAGGAAGAGGATGTTGCTGCTCATCATGATTTACTTTGTCACCTTTTACTACACCCACGGGATGATATGGGGTAGTGGATTTTCTTATCTGCCACTAGATGGTTACATACTACCAAGAAAACTTAAAAACGTTTACTGCACGAATGAAGATGTGTGCTCATAATCTGTGCCGGTAACTATACCTGGTTAGTATGGTGCGGTTCTGAGCTTAAATCCTTGTTGGCATTTGTGCTAAAATTATAGGTAAAGTAAAATGGTGAAGATGTTGGTGAAGCTAAGTGTGGATACCCCTTGCTATTGAATGACCTCTTTCTGGAGGACATAATATCGCACCGATGTAATCCCTAAATCGCCACTGAAACAAGATAACGGATGTTAACCGTGATACCATGCCATGTGGTGGTGGCTTAAAAATACACCGTCTTAAATAGCCTCGTCTGTGTAGAAAGAGTATAGTAGTATAGCCATCGATCACTAATAAAAAACTAGATAGACAATCAGTGACATAAATGTCCTTACCGAATGAACGCCCACTCGAACTTTTGGGTGCAATTTTAATTTGTACGCAGCTTGGTGAATACAACTTTTGGCAATGCACTTAAGGTTGAATTTACATTAATGTATATTTATTTCAACTAGAATTACGTAAAAACAACTGGCTACAGTTTTTAGAGAATTTTTGCATGGATTTGTGTATCTAGTTTTTTATTACTCATCGATGATTATACCCTACAAAAATCTCTGATGGCCTTCAATGAATGGCGGTATAACCAGCTAATACATTATACCAGATGATATATCCGTTCACGAATTACCCGCTAAGCGTTGTGATTATGACACATTCTTTCTATGGACCCAAGTCATTTTTTTTTAATTAAATACCATCATGGTAAAATTAAAATGCTTGTGTTAGGAGTGAGGCACGACAGTATATATTTATATATCAGGGTTATTTTTCAAAGTGTAGTTAAATTCTAAACTTAAGTTCAAATATATAAATAATGATATACTGTTATTGCAGTTTTTAAAAATACAAGTAAATAAGGCTTCTACTTTTATTTGAAATTATCCCAAATTGAATGTGAATTATGGGCAACAACGTTTTTGTCTATCGATCGAAAATGTGTGCGTGCGCAGTAAAATCAGTTAAAATAATGCATTAACACGCATTTTGCATTTAAAAGGAAAAAGGACAGAATGTTTGACATTTTTTCTAATAAATTTTTCTTCACCATTTGTTATATTACTTATTCTGAACCTTCTCTGCAGTTTTGGCCGGTTATTGCAAAAGAACCCTGTATATATATGTATATGTAAGCTGAAGTGGCAATGGGACGGCCATATAGCTCGAGGAACCGACAACCAATGGGAAAAAAAGGTTCTCGAGTGGCAGCCTCGTACCGGTAGGCGAAGTGTAGGGCGATCCCCCACTAGATGGAATGACGACCTAGTAAGACATGCAGGAAGTCAATGGATGCAGGTGGTTCGGGACAGTGCTTTGTGGCATTCCTTGAGGGAGGCCTATGTTCAGCGGTGGATTTCTGAAGGGCTGCAATGATGATGATGATGATATATGTATATGATAATTGAAGTCAATTTTGTTTACTCACCCAACCAGTGATTAGTGTTGCGAAGTCTGGGCACAGGTAGTAACGCCACTAGCAGTCGTCCATCTTTGGAAATGTCAATACTAGCATCATTGTGGATCCTGCACCTTTGCACCACAACATTTTTTGTACCTGATGAAATGACGAAGAGTTAAGTAATCCGGCTAATGATAAGCTAGATTAAAATTAGAAGTTAGTACTGTTAAACAATTCAAAAGGGAAAGACTAAATTCACATAAACGTGAAGGCCCTACTATTGAATGAGTTTTTGTAATATCTTCCATTATTCATCAATCCTTTACAGCCTATTAAGTCCACTGCTGAACATAGGCCTCCCTCATAGGTTGCCTCATGGGGGATTTTGCCATAGTTGCCACGCTTGGCAACCGCAGTTTTTTATTATTTTGAGCTGTTATCAGAATGATGCTGCTGCCAATCCCCTATTTCATTTTCCTTCTGTCGCTTCTTACGTCACGATCGGGGCAGGGGATATTCTTACACCACCACTATACGATATTTTGCGAGAGCTTATTGACATATTATGTAGACTGTTAATTCCCTAAGTAAAATATTAAATTATTACAAGGATTAAAACAGCGTACTATCAGCAATGTCGGGAGTAGCGCCAGTAGTGAAATCCCAGGCCTGTACACGATGTGAGGGCGCTGGGAGGGTATCGGAAATAATACCAGCGTCAAGTAAGCCAGCCATCCCGCCCATCCGCCTGGCTCCCATGTTTCTCCCTCCACCTCCACTACCACCGCCACCTCCGCCTCCACCCCCGCCACCATTGCCACCGCCCCCACCCCCATTTGGAATCCCATCTTCATCTACTGCCATTGCATTCTGTAAAATTAAGCGTGAAAATAGATAAATGCTATATTTTATCTTATTTTTTCTTTTTTTACTAGTTTCCTCTGCATCGAGATGGTGTTTGACATAGACGGATGTTTGTCTGTCAGGTCCGGAATAAATAGTAGTAGATATACAATAATAGAACCACAGAATACGTTTCGGAGAGTTGTATGTAGGTATGTATAACTTAATTCTTCCCTCTCCCTTTCACCAGAAACAGAGGTAATTTAAAAAAAAGTAATATTCTGTAAATACCAGACACAAGCTAATAGTAGCAGTTACTCATCCACCGAGTCAGTAATTCACTATTGGGGCGATGTATACCATTTTACAACAAAATCCCAGAAAATATACAAAATTTGACCTGCTTAAAGTTCAATAACTTGATGAAACAAAGTTTGTGTAATTTTTTTTTATATTATAAGGGCGACAAACGAGCACACAGTCCACCTGATGGTAAGTGGCTGCTGCGGCCCATAGACATCTACATCTATCTTCTATTACAAATCAAAATGTAGATGCGTTGTCACCCGTGAGGACTAAGATGGAATGCCTCATTTCCAGTAAAAAGGGCCTCCGGCCACCTGCACTCACCAAGCGAAACGCAGAGGTAAACCTCTACTTCACGCTGGTTTTCTGTGAGGTCATGGTACTACCCCGGTTCGAGCCGGCCCATTCGTGCGACAGCAAAAGCTGCCGCGTGGCTCTACCACTGTTAAAGGTTTCACCTTTTTTTTGTGTATTCGATCAATAGTATTCCTTTGGAATCCCAAAACACTGTGGCCATGATTTTAACGGCCGATGGAGTGACTTTGAACTTCTTGGGGGGGGGGGGGGGTCTGAACCCTTTTTATGTCATTGCATAGACTCCTGTTTACTCTCAGGTGATACCCTCGTTTCATGTCCTGTAACTAGCCAATCGAAAACACTTGTTGGGTCGTCACCACACCGTTCTAAAACTCCCTACAACACGCAATCAAACTCCTTTTTGAATGCGTGTACTGAAAAATTAGGTGTCCGGCCAGTCCGGCTTGTTAGGCTTTTTAAATTTCACTATTTTTTTTTTTACATTTTCTTCTGTAGCCGCTGTGATTGGCCCAACCTGGCTAAGTACTGTCGTTAGCTAATGATTTTCTTTATTACCCACATTAGCGAATCACCCTAATACCGAGAATACATTGAACGCCCCTTCTACATCACATTTTCATAAATATATTGAGAGGCCAAAATTAAAAAATTAATTTCCTTAAATTTTGGTAACCATGTGTAAGTCATCACCCTTTTGTTGTCGACATACCACGCATTCGAACCGAACGGTTAGCTTCGTCGTTCGTCACGTATGCAATAAAGGAGCGAAATAATTTTACTGTCTATCGTTTTACAATATGTCTTTAAGATAAGAGTGAATAAATTTTCGTTAAGCTAAGCCAGTGCGCTTTACAATCATCAACAGCATCATTTTTTAAAGCCTTTGCGTTTGTCCTAGTCAATTCATAACTTCTTTCAGTAATAGAAAGTTGTGCGGTGGTGCCGGAACAGCCACCCCACCTCGATCCAAGGGTCGTAATTGTAAGACTACGTTTTAAAAATTGAAAAGATAATTTTTTGCCTTCGTTACATTGCGTTTCATGATCTTATCGTGTCTGTCAGGTTTAAAACTGTACAGAGCAATGAATGGGAGAGATCATTTTAACTCATTTCTTCCGCCGCAATCGACTTGCCAAACGTGACGATTAAGGAAAATCGTATCTATAACGTTAGACGTCCATGTTCAGTAGTAAACTTTCGCGGGTTGATAAAAAAAAAAGAACTAGTGTTACTGAGAGATTCGAAAAGACACGAGTTCGTCTTGTTCCTAAGAGTTAGACACAAGTTAAACATACGCCTTCTCATTTCAAACTATTCCACAATTTGTTATATCAGCCATTAATCTTGACCATGGACAAAGTGTTAGGCTTATCTTACTTACTTAACATAGCAAGTCACAAAAGAAACCGATTTATCTCTATCCTAATGTGTCTGTTGTCAAGAACGTATAGCATCCCGATAAAATCGCGTTAAGGTATTTCAAAAATAATTTGAGCACTCCCGAAAATTCAAATAAAGGCATCTTTATTACTAGTATTTATGGGTAGTTGTTTTCAAAGTGACGCATTGTTAAAAATTTGTTTAAAATTATGTATATACATATCATCATCATCATCATTACAGCCCTTAACAAGTCCACTGCTGAACATAGGCCTCCCCCAAAGAATGCCACAAAACACGGTCCTGAGCCACCTGCATCCATCGACTTCCTGCATGTCTTACCAGGTCGTCACTCCATCTCGTGGGGGGACGCCCTACACTTCGCCTACCGGTACGAGGCTGCCACTCAAGAACCTTTCTTCCCCATCGGTTGTCGGTTCTTCGAGCTATATGGCCGGCCCACTGCCACTTCAGCTTACTAATCCGTTGGGCTATGTCGGTCACTCTGGTTCTACTGCGGATATCCTCATTCCTAAGTTTATCACGCAGAGAAACTCCGAGCATAGCCCTCTCCATAGCTCGCTGAGCGACCTTGAGCTTCCTCATACGGCCAGCAGTGAAGGACCACGTCTCAGTTCCGTAAGTCATCACTGGCAACACGCACTGGTTGTACAATTTCGTTTTAAGGTTTTGAGGTATGTCTGACGAGAAGATGTGTCGTAGCTTCCCGAACGCTGCCCAGCCGAGTTGAATCCGTCGATTGACCTCTCGGTCGAAGTTGGACTTACCCAGTCGGACTATTTGTCCCAGGTAAACATACTCGTCAACAACTTCGAGCTTAGTGCTCCCAACAACTACCGGCATAGGTGTGACATGGACATTAAACATGATCTTTGTTTTGTCCATGTTCATCTTAAGACCTATCCGTTGGGAAACACTATTGAGGTCATTGAGCATAGTGCTTAGGTCCTCCAGCGATTCTGCCATAAGGACTATATCGTCGGTAAATCGAAGGTGAGTGATGTACTCGCCATTGATGTTGATACCGTATCCTTTCCAGTCCAGAAGCTTGAAAACGTCTTCCAATGCAGCGATGAAGAGTTTCGGGCATATGACGTCACCCTGTCTTACACCTCTCTGCAATTGGATAGGTTTCGTACTCTGGTTCTGTACTCGGATAGCCATCGTAGCCCTACTGTACAAGCACTTCAACACTTCGATATACCGACAGTCAACTTGGCACCGCTGAAGGGACTGCAGCACCGCCCAAATTTCGACGGAATCAAAGGCTTTCTCATAGTCCACATACGCCAGATATAGTGGAAAATTGTACTCTTCAGACTTCTGTACAATTTGCCGAAGGGTATGTATGTGGTCTATGGTGCTAAAGCCCTTTCGGAAACCGGCTTGTTCGGGAGGCTGGAAGTCGTCAAGTCTGCGCGCGAGACGATTCGTAATGACTCTCGAAAACAACACGTAGACGCGGCTCAGAAGGGAAATCGGTCTGTAATTCTTCAAGAGAGCGTTGTCACCTTTCTTGAAGAACAAGACCACCGCACTTCTGCTCCACGTCTCCGGTGTAATGCCACCATGGAGGACGGAATTAAAGAGCTTCTGAAGGACTTCAAGTACCGGTCTTCCACCCGCTTTCAGAAGCTCCGCTGTAATTCCATCCTCGCCTGGGGCCTCACCGTTTTTAAGGTGCTGGAGAGCCATCCTAATCTCGCTCAGACTGACATCCGGGATATCTTCGGAATAGTGTCGGATGAGACTCGCTCTTGGATCGTTACTCACACTTGCGTGTGGCTCCAACGATGATGTGTACAGCTGCCCATAGAACCTCTCAATCTCACTCAAAATCTCAGGTGTCCCGGAAACGATGCTGCCACATTCTGTCTTCAGCTTTGACAGTTGGCTCTTTCTGGCAGACAGATCTCTGGCAAAGACTTTGGAGCCTTGGTTCCGCTCGATCGCTTCTTCAATACGAGCTGTATTGAAGTTGCGTAAGTCCCGCCGCATGCATTTGGAGATCTGTCTGTTCAGATGCCTGTATGCTGTCAAGTCTGTTGAAGAATGTAGCTTCATCTCCCGTCTAACAGCCATGAGATTAAGAGTGTGATCGGAGAGTTTTTGTGTTCTTCTGCGGCGGGTCTTGCAGAACTTAGCTCCGACCGCATGGACAGTTTCCACGAGCTTGTCATTCATATCGTCCACTTCATTGCAGTCTTCCAGGCACTGAAAACGGTTTTGTAACTCGAGCTGAAAGGTTTCGGGACTTTGGAACAGAGCACGAGGGGGACGGAGCGTTGACTTCATTAGACGAGACCTCTCCAACTTAACGTTTAGGTTCAGTGTGCCTCTAACCATTCGGTGATCGCTACCAGTTTTCACCCTCGCGATCACGGAGACATCACTGAACAGTTGTCGTCTGGTCGTCATAATGAAGTCAATCTCATTTTTTGTGGAACCGTCGGGGCTCGACCAGGTCCACTTCCTGTGGGGCCGCTTCTGGAAGAAAGAGTTCATCATAAAGAGTCCCTCTTTCTCCATGAAGTCGGCCAACTGCTGGCCCCTTGGGTTCCGTTGCCCTATTCCAAATTTTCCTACCTTCAGCTCACCGTTCTCTCTTGTGCCTAGTTTTGCATTGAAGTCTCCCATTAACACCGTATATTGGGTTTTGGAGGAATGCATGGCTCTAGAGATATCCTCATACATTTCCTCCACCTCCTCATCGGGGTGTGCCGAGGTTGGTGCGTAAACCTGTATGACCTTCAGCGAATACCGTTTGGTGATTCTGAGTATAAGGTACGCAACCCTCGTCGACACACTCCCGATCTTTACAACGTTGTTAACGAGAGACTTGTGGACGATAAATCCGACACCTCCTTGGGACAGATGGTCGCCCTCCCGGTGATAGAGCAAGTTGCCGGATTCGAGGATTACCGTGTCCTCCCCCTCTCTTCGGACTTCGGATAATCCTATAATATGCCAGCGCAACTTGTCTATCTCTTCTTCCAGCTCCACGATCTTCTCGTCAGTCCTCAGGGTGCGTGCGTTGTACGTTGCCAGGTCGAGTCGTCTAAGGTGGCAACCGAACCTCCACCGGAGACTCTTAGCACCCCCTGCCCCGCCGTTACCATGGTCGCCACCGTAGCCAGGAATAGCGGGGCCGCCGGGGAGTGGGGGCCGTTTTTTTGTTACTGTCATTCATAGGGGGGGGGGGGTATTTGCCATAGTTGCCACGCTTGGCGAGCGGGTTGGCAACCGCAGTTTTTATTGTAATTTGGCTATTATCAGGAAGATGCTGCTGCCCATCTCCTGCCTGTTTCCCTTTGTCGCCTTTTACGACACCCACGGGAGAGGATATGGGGTAGTGAATATTCTTGACCGCCACTACACGGCTAATATTTATTTATACTTATATACATATAAGTATAAACAATTGCCTCGTATAACGAATAAGTAGTTTAAATTAATCCTTACCTGTGCCAAAATTATGGGTTGTAGATATTCGTGGATTCTTGGAAGTCTTTGCGGCTGACTTCCTGATGCTTCAGAAGGTACAGGAAGGTCATTAACCTGCATTAGTGGCATTGGTGCATTGTTCATCACAGTATGAAAAGTATTCGAATCATCTTGCGTTCTGTTATTTGATTCTCGCGGAGAAAGAATATGTGGTCGATATGCGGTGAAAGTTCGTCGATTACTACTATCTGAGGTACTTTGTTGTGAAGGTCCGTTGTCCGACTGGTTATCAGTGTTGTTTGATTGTAGGGCAACAAACATCTCACGTACAGAAGATGGCGTGTACAGTCTTATAGTTTCTAAACGTCGAAATCTAGCGGCGTTTCTTATTCTTACAGCTTGCAGATGCGCAAGTCTTATTAAATTTACTCTGTGTTCAAATTCATTTTGCACGTCACTTCTAGATTCTTGGTTTGCAGTTTCAGCACCCGGAGCCAAGCTGGAAGGACCAGGTACTGGTTCTGCATTAGCAGCTTCATTTCTTGGCGAAGAAACCTTCGTTGGTTGAGTTTTGCGCGGTAAGGAACGCAATACAGGTATTCTATGGGTAGAGACTGGAGGGAAAAGTCTTTTCTTTATAAGTGGATGGGCTATTGGATTAGTTCTGTGTAAGGCTTTTTGGCGCTTACGTTCCAAATATATTTTTCTTCTATTTATAGCAGTAACCGAATTATTTCGGTTTGCTGCAGCAATTTGTACTGCAAGTCGATTACTCCATCTCTGAGAACAAGAGCTCAAAGCTGGCGATGGATAGTCTTCTTGAACAGTGTTTATAGATGGAGAACTTTGATCAACTGTAGGTGCCTGTGACGTCGATGGTTGATTTTCCATATTTTCGCGTTTTTTCATGTGGTCTTCATCAGTTCCACTGGATAAAGAATTTGGAGATTCATCTGGTCCATCAACATTAACAGGGCCAGCGTGGTCAATATTTTCAATTCGAACTACGTTAAGAGGGTCCATGCGACTTGACTGTTGCGACGGATTATTTGCCGTCCGATTGGTGTTTCTATTTGTCATTAACATTAAACAGGTTAAGGCTAAAGCCTTTTTCAGAGTCCTTAACATATTGATGATAAGTTGACTAAGGCCACGCTCCTCTAAACACATCATCATCATATTAAACATGACTGACAATACTTGCATAGCCCGCATGCGGATTTCATGTCTTGTAGCACTAATTTCCATAGCTCTAACAAAATCCCTGCGAGGCCTATTTGCGTATCTTTGAGATAGACGATTAACAGAGGGGTTTCGAGATCTTCTTCTGAGTTCATCTTCGGGCCTCCATCTATAACTAGATTGAAGCCTTCTCCTAAGATATGGGGAGGAGCGATGGCAAGGAGATGAACGCCTCTGAGGCGAACGTCCCGGTGGTGATTGTCTATGGGCTCTATCACCCACAAACGTCATATTTTGTTCGTCATTATTTGAAACGCCATTTGTGTCGTTTACTGAAGCGTCATTGTTTTGGTTTCTATTATCAGATTCATTATTTTCTGTTCTTGGTCTATTGGTGCTTCTTGTAGAGCCACGAATATGATCCGTCATCTGAGTCAATAACATGCACCTTTCTAAAAGGGATCTAGTATAATAACTAGGTACATCCTGACGTCCAGTTTCTCTATGTAACATTAATATACGTCGACGTAAATTCTCCCACATGTTGCGTAGTTCACGCATTGTAGTACGGTTACCGCGTAGCCACAAATTTGTTAATTGCATTGTATGTTTTTGTAAAGCATTAACGCCTCCTTTAACTTTTCTAAACGCTTCTTCAGGAGGTACTACACAACCGCTAGTCCAAAAATTGTCACGGCTTGATGATGATCCACTCTGTCGAAAGGCTGAAAAGCTATCGTTGCGACTTTCAGATGGTACAGTTCGATCTCTAGCTGATGTACTAGGTCCTTCACCCGCTGAACTTCTTTGTGTGCGAACATGGAACCTATTGCTACTGGCGGTTATGTTGAATCCACTTGTGCCTTGGGAAGTTCCCTCGGATGTTGGCGAGTCCTCGTTTAGCTCAAACGTCATACGATCAGTGGGTTGTTGTTGTCTGTCACTGAAAGTTGCGTTTGTTTGACCGCCAGCGTCTCTTGATTCGTCTTCTCTATAAGTCGAATTTGGGGTTCTCAAAATATTTACCTCCAAGGATTGATCACTGTCAGAATCAGAGCTTGTAGAAAAAAATCCTCTACGTAGACTAGAGCTGAAAAGTCGGACTCGAGGTCTTGTTTCACGAGTCCTTTCTCCAGTTTCGCTTTCATCGGAATGAGCACGAGTATTACTTCCGCGTCGAGGACTACTTCTTTCCACGTCGGTCAACGTGGATAAGGACATGTTTGTGATCAAGTTCAATAATCTAGTTCCAGAATCTCTAAGTATATCGCGAATTAAATCTAAGCTTTCGTTAATTGTTTGTGCATCCATTGGTGCAGATACGGGACTCATTTGCGTAGACGAATTGGTCATTGTCGGTCTTTGTTGCGTACTTGTATTGGACGTAGATGGACTTGGTGGTGGCCAACGAGTTATCGGAGTTAGATCATCAAGAGTTATTGGAAAACTTTCTCTTCGCGATGTGCTAGATGAATGTTGTGAAGACGAAAAGCTACGGAAGGACCTGTGTTGCGAGACATCTGAATTTAAAGATGATTCCGGTCGAATCGAGGTAAATATGCTTGTGCGTGAAGAGTTTGTAGAATTGTCTGTAGATTGCGAACCCTCAGCAACTGATCTTGGATTATTATTTGTAGATGAGAACGGATTGGGCAATAATCTCGTCACACGCTCATTTTGGTCTACAGTACGAAATGAGCGCCCTACATAGTCATTTAACGGTTGAAAGGCCGAAGACCTAGATCCGAATGTGGTAGACTGCTCCTGACGAGACGAATCTTGACCCCTAGAAAATATGAAATAGAAATTTGATATAACCTTAGAATTGCTAATTTATTTATTATTTTTTTATATATTCCTATCTTCCTTAAGAACTAAAAATATGCAAGGACTTATTCTAATAGAATTTAAAAAATAACAAAATCATAAACTTACATAGTTTATTCTTTTGATATTTTTAAGAGGTTAAGAGGAGTCCACGCCAGTTTAAAAGAATCATTGTTATTTAATAAGTATAAAAGTTAAGGTTTGTGTCAAAGGTTTTAACACATATATGTAGTATTTACTATTTACCTCGAAGAGTTTCCCAATGATAAAACATCAAGATTTAGCAAGCGACTGCTACTTCCTTCGCCATCGCCGCTACCACCGCCATCGTGACGAGATGTACTGGGTACAGGATTTCCTGCTATGAAAAATAGCATTAATATACAGCGAAGATTAACGTTTCAGTATTAAAATCTCGAAATATTTAACGATTTTATACCAAAATTATCAAGTCTCTATATAATTTTGTTTTGGTCGTTTTGTTAAATATATAGCTCGGACAATTAATGCAAGAAGCAACCTTATGTACTTTTCGGTCGAGAGAGTGGAACGACCTGGATCGGCCTGGAAAGTTCTATAATATTACGACTACGAATAATCCACCTACGACATCTGCGATTTATTAAGGAACTCATTGAAGAAGCTTAGCGATTTTGGACGACGTAAATATATACTTGCTGTGTGTGTGGAAAAATACATAATTTTTTTTATCCTAATCGGCATTTTTACACGCCGCGCACGTAACAATATATTAAATAAAAATACATTAAAATAATAATAATAATAATAATAGGACTTCAAAAAGTAAAAAGAATTAAATAATTTCCACATAATAGTTTCTGAAGTTGGTGCTAAGAGACAGTGAAAAGAATTAAAACCTCGCCCTGCCTTCAGAAATTATTACGTAGAAATTTTAATGTAGAAATAGGTTATTACTTTTTATATTTTTTTCAATTTTTAATGGACTAATACCATAAGGTCTGTCAACGTCTCTATTTTGCAATATTTTTCTTAAAATTTATATGGCACCACCTCTGAAGTATAAGTTATTTAAAATATTCAATCCGAATATGTCTACTATTATCGGTAATAATTCTTCAAATATCCTGGGGCGTTTACGCCCCAGTGACGCGCAGTTTTACATATCTTACTTTTAATTACAAAATCAGTCTTACACATGTAGGAGTTTATTTTCTGTTACTGGCCGCTTGGACGCCTAATTAGAAACATTTTAAAAAAGCATCCATAGCTCGTTCTTTTTTTGAAATTGGAGAATACCTAACATTTGTTTCTTGGCTTTTTCTATTATTTTGGCGGCAATTGAAAATTTAATCTGAATATTATTTTGTTCAAAATGGGCAAACATAATAGTTGTGACGCGTCAACTAGGGAAATAATTGTTAACTTACATATAAATCATAAGTTGGCGTACAGAAGAATAGCTGAGCATTTAAATTGTTCTGTTAAGGAAGTTTTCAATGCAATTGATCATTATAAAACACATGAAACTTGAAAATGTTCTTAGAAAGGCTCGGCCAAGTATAACTTCTCCCAGAGAAGATACGCTAATCGTTCGTGTTGCTAAAAAAGACCCAAGTAAAGGCTCCAACCAGATTAAAAATAAAGCTTTTTCGCCTGATGACCCGAGAAACATCTCGTCAAGACTAATACGCCGAAGATTAGTGGAAGCTAAATTGTTTGGAAGAGTCTCTTGAAAGGTACCGCTTCTTACCAAGCAACACCGAGAGAAGCGATTATTATTCGCTAAAAACATGTTAATTGGACGGTAAGAGAATGGAAAAAAGTGTTATTTTCAGATGAAACAAAAATAAAAATGGTAAATTGCGATGGAAAGCGCTAAGTTAGACGTCCTGTAAACAATGCTTTTAATTATAAATACACAAGGAGTATGGTCAAGCACGGTGGCGGCAACATTAAAGTTTGGGGGTGTTTTTCCGGATGTGGAGATGGACCCGTTCGTCAGATTGAAGGTATATTGGACCAATGGCAATACAAAAATATCTTAGACCACACAATGATTCCCTACTCGGACGATCATTTGTCTGTAACCTGGATCTTTCAGCATAACAATGACCCTAAACACACGGCCAATAGCGTCAAATGTTTCCTTAGCGAACAGTGTATATCCATTTTAGACTGCCCAGCAAATAGTTCAGATTTAAACTCGATAGAAAATCTCTGGTATATTGTTAAAAAGAAAGTGTCAAACAAACGTAAGACCAGTCAAAACGAACTATATGTTGAAGCATGGAATTCAATCCCCCTAGAAAAATGTATGAAATTGTTTGAATCAATGCCACGTCGTTGCAGTGCTTTTATTGAAAGTAAGGGATACGCACTAAATATTAATTATAACTATTGGTAGGCTGTGGATAGTATTTCGTATAATAGGCTATTTCGTAAATAACAATACTAATTACTAATACTTAAAAAAATATTGTTTTTTATACTTTTTTGTTGTTCTTTCTAATTAGTTGGCCATTATTGTTCATACCTTAAAACTGATTTAAAAGAATGTCCGTAATGTAATATTGAAACTGCACTTGTGTAATGGGTAAATCGATAATCTAATAAATGATAAATCGTTGAAAATATTGTTGTTCTATTTATTGTTTAATTTCAAAATAAAAACGATTGCGGTGAAGTATCTATAATGTCAAGGACCGTTGGTAGTGTTTCTAATTATACGACCACCACTGTATATCCGCAAAAAAAATTGTATAAATAAATAACCGCAGAGATTGATTTAAAAAGAATTAATCTAAGGCGTGATGCCTGGCTTGTATCGAAAATCACTTAAAATGACGCAAAGTAAAGTGGCTATGCCAAATAATGGCATGCGCCCGTCGCAATAAATGTAAACTCTGTTTGTTTTAACTTTTAAGATTCGATTAAAGAGTTCAATCGTAAAAGTGAAACTGGTATTTAATTTATTTAGTTTTAGTAATTTTACGTGTATGAATGATAGGAAATGAGTCATATGGTAGAGTCATATACCTACGCTATGAAGTTTTAAAATCTCCACAAATGTGAATCGACATGAGGGAGGTATGTTTTGAATAAAATAAGGATGACAAACGAGAACACAGTCCAGCTGATGGTAAGTTGATACCGTAGCTCTAGACATCTACACATATCGTCAATTAAGAATCAAAATGCCTTCTCTACCATACGAAACACAGACGCATTAAGCTACTATTTTACGATGGTGGGTTTGTGGGAGCGGAGTCCTACCCCGATCAAATCAAAATAATTTATTTGTAAAACATAGGTAAAAGTTACAAACTCGGTTGAAAAGGTATCCTTAAACTCGGTAACCTTAAAAGGCATACAAATATTTGGTTATCATCATCACCTGGCATTACTAATATTAATATTTAACAGCATTAAGTACAATTGCAATTATAATTTGTATGTTTAGTAAAAATTACATAAATTATTGTTTTCACTATCTATTATATAATTCTTAATAACATAAAGATAAAAATATAATAAATAAATGGGACATTAATTGTAGGTACTAAAAACCATTAATTTTATCATCACAATATTCGTTGATACACTAGTATCCTTTTTTTTTTTAAATTAAAAATGCCGAAAACAATTTCTTAATTTTTTCTATATTATCTGTCTCTGATGTTTTTGGGAGTTTATTAAAAATTTTAGGGGCCATACCCACGAAACTTTTTGAATATAGGGCTGTTTACGAGGTTTTATACGTAGTGTGTTTCTATGACGTTTATTGTTAGTGTTTTCAAATATGCTAAAATGTTTTCTAACAAATATAGCTATGTAATGTGTCGTCCAAACAAGGCGAGCAGGTAGTAAAGTAAAATTTTCAAGGGCGAAAAATGTACTTACCTAATAAAGACATGCAATGTTTAAGAAAACTATCTGCCAATAATTTTGTAATTTTGTAATGAAATGCCTACTTTTACACATTAACGGCTATAGCTCAGTAAATAATGACATTAAGAACATGGTATGCTAATGTTTTAGAATCCTTATGATATAGGCAAACTTTTTAGATGGTTGGCCACACAGATCCTATACGTTTTTTTTCCACCACAGGTGCTCAAACTTAGCAGTTAAATAAAGTAAAAAATTTAAACTTATGTTTAGTGCCGTCTTGTAAAATACTACCCATAGTAGTTGAAAACTTTTAAGAGTAATTTAGAAACATCGTTATTAGGGAACACATTAAAAGAAAAAAATCCAATCTAGGCATTAAACTGCGGACGTGATGACCACAAATGTGAGCAGAAGTACGAATTTTTGGAATTTTATAAGACATGGCGTAGACCGCGAACCATTCGGGATAGAATTTTTTTTAGGGAACCCAGGCCACCTCCCCTCTCGCCCGAACACGTACGTACTAGATTATCCACCATTACTGGGACATCCTGTATATATAATATTATACCATATTTCAATGTTAAAAAGACGTATGCATGGTAGGCGGTTATAACTGTTTCACGATTTGTAATTTTATAAGCTGCATAGTGATATTGATTTAAGCCGACCCGACCGCTAATAATAACTTGTATTAACAATATCCCAATTAACAATATCCCCAATGACTTCTTAAAATTGGCAGTCAATGACTTGGCTCCTATTATTTCCCATTTAACTAATCTATGTTTTGATACAGGGATATTCCCTGCACCATTAAAGCAGTCTATTATTACGCACAAGGAGACAGAAATTACATTAATAATTAAAGACCAATTTCCGTTCTACCAGCAATATCTAAAATTCTAGAAAAGTTACTTAATATTAGATTACTCAACTACTTATATAAATTTGATATATTGGCACCCACACAGTTTGGCTTCAGACAAGGAAGATCGACAGAAGATGCAATTCTTGAATTAAGCACATTTTTAACAGAACAACTCGACCACAGTAAAAAATGTTTGTCAGTTTTCCTTGATCTGAAGAAAGTATTCGATACCATCTCTGTCCCTATGCTTGTGCACAAGCTTGAAAAAGTTGGAATAAGGGGGACCCCGCTTGCTCTTTTCGAAAGCTACCTGTCAGAGAGAATACAAAAGGTAAAGCTTCCTGGGTTCACTAGTGGGGATGCGGGAGTATCATCATATGGCGTACCACAGGGTAGCGTTCTGGGGCCAACCTTATTTTTAATTTATATCAACGACCTATGCAGTATGACCATACCAAATGCTAAAATCCTGTCGTACGCCGATGACACGGCTGTGGTTTTTGCTGGTGAATCTTGGGAGGTTGTCAAGACTAGTGCTGAAAGTGGTCTAGCTAGAGTCTCTCTGTGGTTGCAACAAAATCTTCTCACTCTAAATACAGCTAAGACAAATTTTATTTGCTTTAGCATTACTAACAACTCGCAACTACAGACTGACTTTTGCCTTAAAATTCATGCATGTAATGAGGATGCTAAAAACAAAGCTTGTGACTGCCCATCAATTGAAAAAGTCTCTCACATTAAATATCTCGGCGTCATTGTAGATCAGAGGCTATCGTGGTACCCACAACTGGAGCATGTCATCAGTAGGACTCGAAAATTGATTTGTTAAATGGAGAATAAGTTTTCCCATTTCATAAAATTTTGTGGCACGGGCAATTGTCGAGTAACACGAGGGGAGGTCAAAAAGTTCGCGGAATGACAGGGAAGGATAACGAAATGAAACATTTTCTATTTTCCTTTTTCAATGTATTCTCCCTTTTCAATGTATTCTCCCTTAACCCTCATAAATTTAATAAATCTGTCAAATAACATATTAACACCGTCTTAAAAAAAAAAGATTTGGCTTGGGCGTCAAAATAGGCCGAAATTGCCGACTTCACTTCATCATCGTCGCCAAATTTTTTTCCACGCAGTTATTTTTTCATTTTTGGAAAGAAATAAAAGTCGCTTGGGGACCAGGTCTGGGCTGTAGGGTGGGTGGCGCAGTTGTTCAAAACCGCACCGGTGAATAGCAGCCTTCGCAACATAGCTTGTGTGCACGGGCGCATTGTCGCAAAAGGAGCACACCTTTTGTAAATTTTCCTCGCCTTTTTCCTTTAATAGCTTCTTTTAATTTATCTAGAAGAGAAGCGTAGCATTCTCCCGTCATGGAAACACAACGTTCCTTATAATTAATCAAAAGGATACCTTCTGTATTCCAAAAGACCGTCGCCATGATCTTTCCGGCCGATTGAGACACCTTATACTTCTTAGGAGGGGGTGTGCCTTTTTATGCCACTGCATCGACTCTTGTTTTGGCTCAGGTTCATAATGGTGAACCCAAGTTTCATCGCCAGTTACAATTCGGGCCATAACTTCCTCTCTTTGCTCTCCAAAGCGGTCCAAAAACTCACGACAACATCCGACGCGCTTGTGTTTTTGATGCGCAGAAAGCATTCTCGGAACCCATCTTGCACAGACTTTAGTCATGCCAATGTTGATGTAGGATGTTTTAAATGGTTGTTTCTGATACTCTAACTAATGCTGCAAACTGTTTTTTCTTTAGCCGGGCATCTTCCGATACAAGATTACTGCCTCAATCGGCTGTCCAGGCGGGAGTCGTCTTCAATGGAGTCCCTCCCTTGTTTGAAAAGGACATGCCATTTATAAATCGTGGTTTTACCAGGAGCGCAGTCTTCATAAATAGCTGACATCTCTTGAAAAACGGTTTGAAGTGTCTTTCCTTGTTTAGTGAAATTTAATGACGGCGCGATATTCAATTTTTTCCATAGTGGCTAGTTTCTTCCCGATTGACTTGTTTATTCGTTGATAACTCAAAAGCTAATGACCCGATTAGGCTGAAACTTGGTATATATACTAACAATGAGTCACTCAACTAGGGCCTACCTGGATGAGTAAATTCACCCCCGCCAACCCCGCCATTCCGCGAACTTTTTGACCTCCACTTGCAATACCGCCACATGTTCAAACATACCGTCACATCATCGGCGGAGGTATTGCCAGATATAAAAAAATACTAAATTTTAAACAAACTCTTACAGACATATATTTTTAATAACTTATTATTATTAATTTAAAGAGAGTATGAAAACGATTGTACTTGTGCAGAGTAACGACGCACTCCACTAAGTTTGCTGTACAATACATGCGATTGACGCGAGCGTGTTTTTAAATTACTTATTTAACTAATTGTATGTGCCGTTTTCGTAAAACATATCTATAATGGTGAATTACTGTTACTAAATAAACTTGATTTCAAATCACAGCCATACATATGGTTACTTCATTTTTTTTTGATAAAATTGTTCATCCGAATGCGAGTGCACCACAAAATCAAATTCGTTGATCAAATTTCTACATAATTAAATTAATGTAACAATCGAAAATCGAAAATATCTATGAAAAGAAAGTGTCACGAAAATATTTGGCAGTGCTACACCTATAAATGTATTTTTTCTTGTAGTATTGAAAATGATTTTATTCAATAATTATTTTTAACCTATAAGTATGTAAATAATATTATTATACTTACTCATAATTGATTATGAATAAGTGTAAGAATATTCAAAAGTATTTTATTCCTAATTTTGTGACAACCCTGGCATATATTGCTGGACGGCGTAAATAGTAAAAACGGTACACGGTCGACGGAATCGGCCGACATCAATGTCGTTACCAAACTGTTATACTGTTTTTAAACAGTGATACTAGCTAGTTTTGAATAAGAACAACAACATCAAGTAATTGTTTTCACACTCCTAATATTTTATTAGTATTTTATTTTTTTACCATCATCTTGCTGTCCACCGGAGCTGGAAGAGTGAGAAGTACGAGTAAAGCCGCCGGGCGACGTGTCCGTCTCCATCGGGTCAGTCCCGCGGTCGATCTATAAGTCATTTAACCTAATAATATCAATTAGTAAAAGTTTGCATAATTCTTTTTAGTGGGCAAAATATTGTTTATCATTTTATAAGGCTATTGCCAAGTATTTCCTTCGCTTTTGTTTTCGATTGAAGTATTCTCAAATAGAATTTTTGATAGAAGATTTATTAGATAGGTATTCATATATTAAATTAGTAAAGTTGATCTCCATTTTTTTTAAGGTTTACTGTCTTACTATTATAACATTTAATAGAAAATAGGATATTACCGTACTAGGCGGAGGCGGTGTATTAGTAAGTCGATGCCGGACCATATATAATCTTTGATAGTTTCTAACCAAACTGTCATATCTTTGAACCAAATTTTGGTAAGAGTTTACTATCATTTCTTGTGCTGATCCCGAGTTATCTTGAGTTCTGTTAGCGCCATTGTTGTCGTCAGATTCATCTCTCCGAAATGGGTTTTGGTTGTTTGTCGGACTCATATTGGTATTTTGTTGAAGCAAGGAGGCACTGGTTCCTCCTGGGCTCGCCCATAATGAAATTCCAGTTATTAATTTGTACCCTAAAGCATCGAACGCCACATATCTGTAAATCATGATATAGATAAGTATTAAAAGAATTCTTTCGAATATTACGTTATTTGCCTTCGAAATTACAAAAGTCGGAAGTTATCTCCTAAAGTTTAATTAGAGATAAGCAAGAGATTACTACCCGCGAGGTTAAAGAATGGGATTGAAAATGGCGTCGCCTCTATTCACGTCTCGCTCGCACACGACCTCCTTGTGGAATCGATTACCATCAGAGATTTTTCCGGACCGATACGACTTAGGGACCTTCAAGAAAAGAGCGTACTCCTTTTTAAAAGGCCGGCAACGCATCTGCGATTCCCCTGGTGTTGCAGTTGTTCATGGGCGGCGGTAGTCACTTACCATCAGGTGAGCCGCATGCTCGTTTGCCCCATCTCCTATAAAAAAAAAAAAAAACACTGTCGCTATCTATGTTCACACCCGCCGGTAAAGCTGCAAAAATACTATGCGATATGCGTTTCTCGTACGTACGAGGGCTGCACTAAAAGTATCGAGAACTAAATATTTCCACTGTTCCTGTCATATTAAATTTTTTTTAATTGCAAACCCCTTGGTTATAAAAATCGTATACCATTCATTTATTTAAAAAAAGATTCTCGGTCTTGTCACAAGGTTTTGTCAAACTTGTTTAGTCGTTGAGAAAATGGAATTGACTCGAGAAAATTCAAAAGCGATGATTTATTATGACTTTCGAAGTGGTTTAACACAAAAACAGTGTGTTGACCGGAGGATTTCTGCATTTGGTGATGAAGCCCCATCCAAAACCACAATTTATCGCTGGTTTGCTGAATTTCAACGTGGACGTGTCAAGCTCAGTGATGATCCCCGTCAAGGTCATCCAAAAACTGCAGTCACCCAAGAAAACGTTGATGCGGTGCGTAAGCTGATTGAGGAAGATCGACATGTGACATACCGCAAAATTCAGGCAACTTTAGACATTGGCATGAGTCAAATACAAATAATCTTGCATGAACAATTAGGTGTAAAAAAGTTGTTTTCCCGATGGATACCGCATTCGCTCTGTGAAGAGCAAAAAGCGGCTCGCGTTACTTGGTGCGTCAGAACTCTCGAAAGATCCCACGCAGGATCCTCAAATGCTGTATACAACATCGTATCAGGTGACGAATCCTGGATATACGCGTACGAACCCGAAACAAAAAACCAGTCACGAGTTTGGGTGTTCGAAAATGAGTTAAAGCCAACAAAAATTGTTCGTTCACGGAGTGTTGCAAAAAAAAATGGTGGCCAAGTTTGTCTCCTAAACCGGCCATGTTACGACTATTCCTCTTGAGGGACAAAGAACGGTTAATGCAGAATGGTATGCTAGCATTTGTTTTGCCACAGGTCGTTTCTGAACTCCGTAAAGAGAACTGCAACCGCCGCATCATCCTCCATCACGACAATGCGAGTTCTCACACCGCATATAGAACAAAAGAGTTTTTAGAGCAAGAAAACATAGAATTATTAGACCATCCGGCGTACAGCCCCGACCTAATGATTTCTATACTTTCCCTAAAATAAAGAATAAATTGCGTGGACAGAGATTTTCATCATCTGAAGAAGCTGTGGACGCCTACAAACGGACGGCCATTTTGGAGACCCCAACTTCCGAAAGGAATGGTTGCTTCAATGATTGGTGCCATCGTATGGAAAAATGTGTCAAATTTCGCGGAGAATGCTTCGAAAAGCAATAAATACATTTTTAATTAGTAATGTTGTGTCACTTCCTTGACTCCCGAAATTTTCAGTGCCGCCCTCGTACTATCACTTTAGTCCAACTTGCCATTGAAATCAACGATAACAAAATGCCGTAAACTACAATGAAAATTAGCTAATTTGTTAGCTACGACGCGTTCTAAGATTTCTTCATAATTTTTGTTCATTTTGTTTGTTAATATTTTTAAAATTTTCTTTAGTCTGTCTGTCCGAGCTAGTCTTCAAAATGGCTTAACTGGTTGTAATAAAACTTCACAAACAAATATAGAGTACGTATACCAGGAGTGATCTAGACTAAATTTTATCTGAAAAATTTAGAGATTGTATTAAAATAGAAATATTGATAAGATAAAATAAATGGTTTTTAAACATTATTTTAAGTCTAAATAACGCCACATTAATAGATACGACCCTGTAGAAGACAAAGCGGGCCGCTAAATAAATGTTATTTTAAAATTAATGTACCTACTTGCGTATACAATTCTCTTTAAATTTATAGAAAATTTCTAATTAACCGAATAATATAACGTTATAACGATGTACCGTTATTAACGGGTTTTCGCTATTGGTACTGTGCATGTTGACGATCTCGGCTCGATGAGCCGTCATTTCTAATCCCATTCTTTATCCGTACGGATTATATTTTTTTAAATTAACTAAACTGCTGTGAAAAATATTCGCATCAACGGTATTTATAACTTACACTTTGCTAAATACCTTTTGGTGGCATGATAATCTTTGAATTACTATAAAATGTACAAATAAAGATATTGTTAATACATACCTCACTTTTTCATTGATGTTATTAGTAGTGACTTTAGTAAAAGGTGCTGATTGGTTCCAATCCCAAAAATACAGTTCGTTGTATGTAGCTATCACTAACAGTTGCTCTCTGGGGTGGAAAGCAATAGAAGCTATCACTGTCTCATCACGCACATTCCATACTTCACTACCACCCTATGAGATAAATTAAATTATCTATTATTATAGCTTTAGCTAATGGTTATACATATTATCAATTAAAGTAGGCATCATAGTCTTTATGAGAACATAAATAAAATAGAAAACTGACTTTACTAGTGTAAACTTAAATAAATATAGCGAGATAATAAACAGAACTAGAAAATTGCCTAAATAGTACTTTTAAAACTTCATCCTCTATTTTCTGAATCCTTGGGGTAATTTTTTAAATTTATATAGGAACACTCCTGCAATATGACCTTACTTATTTAAACAAGAATAATAAAGATCGGTTCATTTATGAACTCATTGCATAACATACAAAAAAGAGAATACAGTTAGATTGAAAGTTTTCTCCTTTTTTGAAGGCGGCTAAAAATATCAGTATCCCAAGAAATAACATGTTTTTCATGAAATGACAGAAATGTACAGCAAAAATTAAGTTTTCATAGTCATCTGTATATATAATAAATTGATGACTGAGTTGAGGGAACAAATGTAAATATGTTTTAACACATTTTTTTCAGTTATTAAGAAACAAATCTAATTGTGTTACAAAAAATTGCATACCTAAATGATAAGAGTATATTATAATAATTATATTAAATGTTATTTTTTTTATATATCTTGTATTACAGTACAATAATTATAGATTCAGTAATTGTACACCAGAAATATGTTAGCTTTATTATTATTAACAACTTTGTGTACCATTTTTAATTCATAAACCAATTTCATTCGAGTCTATTTTTTCATTATTAAAATATTTTTTCTTAAATGCATTTACCTTATTTTTGCACATATGTGTACCTACCTAAACTTAACAGCGACCCAAAAGAGATTATAAACTTTAGTTTGAGCAACAATTACACAGTGTAAATGTTTGTTAATTTAAAAAGAGAGTTAATTGCTCACTTACACTGGAAATATCCCAGACCCTAACTTGTCCTCCAAGACATCCTGAACCTATTAATTGTGGATGCGATGGGTGAAATGCGATACACCATGGAGTGCGTGGATGCCCCTTTAGTATTCGCACATGTTTTCCACTTGCTAATTCTGATACATATATATTGTGATTTCCATGTGTTGAGGCAACTTTAGTTCTGGAATAAATTGAAGTGTTATATTGTCTTCTATTATTATATATTTTTAAAATATGGGTAGAATTTAATAATATTTATATATATTAATAATATATTATTTGACGTTTTTTAGTTATTGGTTTTTTGGGACACTTTCTAGTGAGAAATTTGCTTAAGTAATTGTTTACAATAATGTAACATACCTACATTATTTACATAATATTTGCCTAAATATTTGTTCACAAATGTATGTTACGTTAATGTCAATAATTACGAGAATTGACCAGCCGATTTTGATCTGTCAGAGTGTTTGGGAGAAGATACCAGTGTTTTGTCAGTGATAACATATGGATCTGAGACATGGTCATTCACTGCTGGCCATATAAAGAGAATATATAGAGGAGAAACAAGCCTATAGATGAGAAGTCTCGGAGTTTCTTTGTGTAGTAGATTTCCTAATGAGGGTATCCGCTGTACCTCAAAAATCAACAACCAATAAGCAAGAAATGTGCTAGTCTCATATTGCAAAGTGAAGGTCGGCCCCCACTAGATAGAGCGACGTCCTTTTAGGACATGCAGGAAGTCGATATAGACATGTGGCTCAAGACCGTGCTTTATGGCATTCCTTGGAGAAGCTATGTTTTAAATTTAGAAACTAGTTGGTAGTAATATTTAGAGTTATTATTAAAATGTTTCCTTATATTAAAAACTGTGACAAATATCTAAAAGATTAAGAACCTATTTATATTTTATTCATAGAATTCATAAAACAAACTCAGTAAAAAATAGTATTAAGCACAAACAATATTATATTCTAGACAACCTTCTGTTTTGACGGAATATCATTTAGGAACGAAGATAGTTTAGTAGAAAAATAATATTTTAATAAGAATTCATGATTATTGAACTTACCCATCTGGACTAAAAACCATTAAAAATGTCGATCTTGGATATCCTGGTAAGTCACAGCACTGAAAGGTAATGGTTAAGTGTAAAAATAATAGTAAAATATAATGAATATTAATTACATACAAATACACATTTATTGAGTTGTGAGAGCCATGGTAGTAAAAGAGTGCTAAGTGTAATATATATATATATATATATATATATATATATATATATATATATATATATATATATATATATATATATATATATACATAAAAGCCCACCTGTTGAGGGCTTAAAAGAATTCATCATCCCAATTTATCATGTAGTTGTCAAAATCTTGTGGCTTCTGGTAGGTGACGGTGGAACCATTTCTTTTACCCCAGATGTAAATTATTCATACCTGTGACAGGCAGCAGGGTCATAGATGAGTGACTCCTGGTGCTAGGATTTATAATCCAACTGCCAAGCATGACAGTTAAAAAGCAACAGAAGCCTATGTTCAGAAATGAACTTTTACAGACCAATAAAGCTGAAAGATATAAAGCCCACTAGTGAAGAATCTCATGAAAAAATTTGCACGGGACTAATAAAATATATTCTAAGGACATATGAAGTACTCCGATTCACATTGAAGCAATAAGACAAATCCTTTGTGTTGGCTTAAAAGAAGTACCACAATATATTAATAAATAATTATAAAATTTCACAATCATTTGTAAAATTCTAATATTAGATGAGTAAATGATAGATGTGATGGGGGAACTCACAATAATTCTCACAACACCCATGTAACATCTCAGGGAAGAAGGACTGCCTAAAAACCAGTGTTTCAAGGGATTTTAGTCCCACGTAAGCATAAGCTGAGTTGCCTCTGATTGCCTAAATTTAATTAAGATTAAATACTCCGTATAGATCATGTTTAATGTCCATGTCACACCTATGCCGGTAGTTGTTGGGAGCACTAAGGCCGAAGTTGTTGACGAGTATGTTTACCTGGGACAAATAGTCCAACTAGGTAAGTCCAACTTCGACCGAGAGGTCAATCGACGGATTCAACTCGGCTGGGCAGCGTTCGAGAAACTACGACACATCTTGTCAGACAAACCTCAAAACGAAATTGTACAACCAGTGTGTGTTGCCAATGATGACTTACGGATCTGAGATGTAGTCCTTCACTGCTGGCCATATGAGGAAGCTCAAGGTCGCTCAGCGAGCTATGGAGAGGGCTATGCTCCGGGTTTCTCTGCGTGATAAACTTAGAAATGAGTATATCCGCAGTAGAACCAGAGTAACCGACATAGCCCAACGGATTAGTAAGCTGAAGTGGCAGTGGGCCGGTCATATAGCTCGAAGAACCGACAACCGATGGGGAAGAAAGGTTCTCGAGTGGCAGCCTCGTACCGGTAGGCGAAGTATAGGGCGACCCCCCACGAGATGGAGTGACGACCTGGTAAGACATGCAGGAAGTCGATGGATGCAGGTGGCTCAGGACCGTGCTTTGTGGCATTCCTTGGGGGAGGCCTATGTTCAGCAGTGGACTTATGAAAGGCTGTAATGATGATGATGATGACTTCATTTATATGTAAATATGTTTTTTGAATGTGGCACTAAAATGATATAATTTAATTCTTTATTTATATGAGAAAGGTAGGTGTTTATGTTTATGACTTTCACAAATTTATTTCCATTTATGCATTTTCATCTAGGGGATGAATAATAACAGTAGTCCAAAGTGTTTGTGTTTACTTGGAGGGGTAAGAGGGAAATTTTAGTAACGTTAATTTCTTTCTTAACAACATAAATGTTGGTTTAAGAAATACTAGCGATTCGCCCTGGCTTGGCACGGGAGATTTCTGAAACTCTAGAACGGCACCACCTACCAGGTCCAATTATAGCTAAGAACCATCCAGGTGACCACATATGTATCCCACAAACATTTTATCAAAGTCGTTTAACAAGAGGAGAATTACAAACACATGCACATCGGAATTTTATACATTACTATAAGTATAAACCTTCCTCTTGAATCATTCTATCTATTGATGAAAACCGCATCACAATCAGTTGCATAGTTCAAAAGATCTAAGCATAGAGACAGCGGGAAGCGATTTTATTTTATACTACATATGTAGAGATGAGGTTTTTATTTAGCTTTTCACCAAATAAATAAAAACAAATAGATAAATTGAAGTTATTGTTAAATTTGCAACCATCCTTTAAAGTCCCATAAGCGAGTCTTCATTTCAGTGTAAGCTTTTTAGATAGCTTAGTTGTCAACATAAATCTTAGTGACAAATCATGCCCTTATACAGTGTAAGACTGATTTAAAGAAGATTTTGAAGAGCATACAAATAAATCTTTTTAATGGCTTTGAGGCACACAGCTTATTCATGGTGTGAAAAGTGCATCTCATTCTATGAGGAATATATAAAAAAATATATAATTTATTTTCTATAAGTACTTTAGGCCACTAATTTATCAGCCGTATCTTAAAAGCCACTGTAATTAAATAGTACTTACTCTGATTTTAAGAGGTTTTTGGACAAGAATGTCTTCAGCAGCATTTTCAAGTACTGTCTTATTGTTAGGGTAGTGTGGGGGATCTATTCCTCTTTCCCTCCACTGCCAACTGCGGGCTATATTGCCAATATTTTGTACTTCATCAATATTGTCATTTTTGTATCCAAGCCATTCACTATCAATTCCAGGATCCATCACTTCTGGTTGAAAAACACAAAGTCACATTTAATACATATTAAAAATTAAACACCTTTCTTACAAGCAGTAAGTGATAAGTAATCAAAAAAAATCAGACACTATTTTTTTGCGATAAAAATTGTTATGAAATATATTGGCATTATATCTAATAAATTTCAAATTACCCACTTAAAATATGAATATTGAGTTATGTTGTAGAATTGAAAGCATCTGAAAATAAACAAGAATATATTTTAATAAAGGTGTGAAGTTTGTTTACTACTTATATAACATTCAAGAACAGCACAGAAATCCAGTTTTCTACATCAAAGGCTAAAACTGTTTGTTTGTAACCTTTAAAGTATACGGCATACATTTTATATAAAGAATCAATAAATGTAATTATATTTTACTGTGAACAATGTTATATAATTTGATTATTAAAACACTGTTAAAATTATAATATAGCTCAATATATTGTTTATTTTGTAAGAAATCACTGTTTGTAAGAAATCTGCTAAAAAGGTATGTTGTACAATCTGTTTATCGCGTGAATCAAAGCTATAAACAATGGTATTTACCTTGACCATGTTTCAAACTACTTATTTTTAGAAGTTAGAACAATGTTATTAAAACATGGATTTATTTATATTAGTCAACTTAAATGTAAATTTTCCAAGTCGATCAATTTACACTGCTACGATACAAAATCTTTGAACGAAATTTTATTGTACAGCTGCGAATTGTCAAAATTCAGGGTTTCAGGGTTTGCGTTTGCGTTTATCTTTATTTTATTTTTAGAGTATACTCTGTGGTAACTAAAACATAATTCTGTTTCATGCATACATAATTATCACATATTTATTAGTTTTACTTAAACGCTCTAAATTGCAGCTATAATGCAGCAAGAATTTTTGTTAAGCAAATTGATTTTAACGTCTTGAAATATAGAATACTTGAGGAATTTATGAAAGAAAAAGATTAATTTGATGTAATAATACTGTATGTACGACAGATTCAAAGCATCGAAAACTTAATGCAAGGTTTTAATTTTTTACTAATCTGTGCTTTATGATACATTTTTTTAATTCAATGTGGCAACAGGAGTCAAGTTTATTCTTACTATATATTTAAACAGAATGATGCAACTTTGTATGAAAGCTGAGAAACACAGAATACTTTTACTCCTAGCGGAGAAGAATGTTAACTCCTAAGAGATTTAAATATATTGGTATACTATAGAGCGGACATAGGGAACAATTGCATACAAAACCTTTGAGCTCGCGCGTGTGTGACGCCCTCTAGCTAAACATAGCAAAACTACGCTGAATATTTATTAGGAAAACATTTCAGCTATTCCCGTTTTAGGAATGTTACCGTTTTGATATCAAAGTATCGATAATGTTGATGACGGTTACTAAGTTTGTAATGCTTTAAGATATAATAATAGGGAATATGCATGCTTTTTTATTGTATAAATCTATTTATTACGACTCCCGTCACACAAAAAAGTCATATAAACTTTTTAAGTCAAGAATAACGTAATGAATAAAATGAAATGTCATGAAAAAAATATTTAATTTCCAATAGCTAAGAATCAATTCAATCAGCAGTCACATTGGTGGCATCTTGGATGACATCACTAGGCCCATTAGACGCTTTAATAATATGATTAAATATATATATTTAATATAAGAAAAATATGATAGGTCTGTCGGCGTCGAAGGCACATCGCGAAACATCAAATCCAATTAGGGAGTTTTTTCCTCTATGTTTTCAATTTCGTTTACATATACATATACATACATAAACACTCACGCCTGTCACCCAGAGGGGTAGGCAGAGACTACGGACTTCCATTTGGCGCGATCCTGACACACCTCTCTCGCCTCTTTTACATCCATATATCTACGCATACACGCTCGTCGGTTAAGGGTACTCCTAATCTGGCCCATTTTTAATGTATCGCCGATTTGGTCGATAAACCTTCGTCTAGGGCGTCCCTTACCGACCCTGCCGTTCACTTCCGCAACATAAATTTGCTTTGTCACTCTTTCCTCGTTCATTCTTTCTACATGACCAAACCACCGAAGCATTCCTTTCTTAATCCTTGTCACAACGTCATCTTGCAAACCACACTTTTGTCTTATCACACTATTTCTCACCCTGTCATTCAGATTCAGCCCTAGCATACTCCTTAAGGACCGCATTTCTACAGCATTTATTCTACTCTCATGCTTCTTCTGCCAGACCCAACTTTCACTACCATACATTAAAGTAGGGACTAACACAGCATTATGAATTGCCATACGTGCCTTAGTTGACACATTCTGACTCCTCATAATAGCGTGTAGAGCCCCATTCACTCTATTTCCTGCGTTCACTCGTCGTTCTATATCCTTATCATATCTACCATCCCTGCTAAATAAACATCCCAAATATACAAACTCATCCACTTGCTCAATCAACTCCCCTTCTATTCTTATTTCACATAAAGTTTTACTTTCTTCTCTTTCAAAAACCATCACTTTCGTCTTACTTGCGTTCACTTTCATACCCCTTTCTTTCAATGACCAATTCATTAAAGTAACCATCATTTGCAATTCGGCCGCCGACGATGCAAATATGACTTGATCATCGGCGTATAAAAGGCATTTGACGGTTGACTCACCCATTCACAACCCACATTCTTCAACTTTCAAAGTTTGCAAACAACTGTCCATAAATAAGTTAAACAGCCACGGGGAAGCCACACATCCCTGTCTGACACCTTTATGAATGCCAAACCAGTCCGAGTAGACCCCGTTGATCCTGACACAAGCACTAGAGTCCCTATAAAGAGATCTTAATGCCTGTATCAAGCCAGCGCTCAACCCAAATGAGTTCAGTGTTTGCCATAACACATTCCTGTCCACTCTGTCATAAGCCTTTTCCAAGTCCATGAACGCACAAAAAACTTTCTGGTTTTTAGCCAAAAACTTCTCCGCTATCATGCGCATGGAAAAGACTTGATCCGTACACCCCATCCCCTTTCTAAATCCAGCTTGCACATCCCAAATTTTTCCATCAGTTTCTTCCATAACTCTTTCAATTAACACCTTAGCATACAGTTTACCCACAATGCTAAGCAAGCTGATACCACGGTAGTTTTTACAGTCCTGCTGCGACCCCTTTCCCTTATATATTGGGACTATAACGGCTTTGCACCAGTCTTCCGGTACCCGTTTCAGTTCCCAACATAAATTAAACAAGGTGTGCAGCAGGCCTGTAACCACACCCTCACCAGCCCTCAGCATTTCGAGTGATACTCTATCATATCCGGCTGCCTTACCTGCTTTCATGCTTTTCATTGCTTTCATTATTTCATCTACACTTATCTCCCTATCTCTCTCCACTTTTTCCGGAATTTCTATTTCACTTATTCCAGACGACTCTTCACTCTTAAACACGCTTTCAAAGTATTCCTTCCATCTCTTTAAATTCGAAACTTCATCATTCAGCATGCAGCCATTCTCGTCTCGTATAGCATTTATTCTAGGCTGTTTTGAATTTCCCCTGGCAGTTCTTACGAGCTTCCAGAACATTTTAATATTTGCCTGGAAGTTATCAGATATCCTTCTATCATTCTTATCTATCCTTTCTTGCTTTTTCCTTTCAACAACTTCTTTTACTCTCTTATTTATACGTCTAAAGTCTGCCTTTTTTCTTTCAATCTCATCATTCATACCGCCAGAATTACCAGCTTTAGTTGCTAGTAAATCTAGCCATGCTCTCTTCTTTGCTTCAACTTCCATCCGTACCTCATCTTCCCACCATAACGTATTACTTTTCCTTTCATTCGTTCTCTTACTTACACCGCATACTTCGGTGGCTGCATCCACCAAAACTTTCTTAATATTATTCCATACATTCTTCAATTCTAAATCATTCATACATAATTCATTCAACCCACTTATATTTTCCCTTAATCTGCATTTATACTTCTCTTTCACACCTTCATCTTGTAACCTCTCTATTCTTATACGCTGTAACGCAGTGGTAGACACCGATGTCCGATGCCGCCAACGTCTGAATAGACCATTAATTCGGCATAAGACCAAGTAATGATCCGTCCCTACGTTGGATCCCCGGTAAACCCTTGTATCTACCACTGCGCTCCTCATTCTTTCATCCACAATTATAAAATCTATCATGCTTCTATCATCCCCTCTTTCCCATGTATACATGTGAATCCTCTTATGGCGAAAGAAAGTGTTCGCCACAAAAATATTCTTTTCCACACATACGGTGAGGAGGTCTTCACCATTCTCATTTATTATTTCATCGCCAAACGTTCCTAATATCCTTTCATAACCAGACCTCTTCACCCCAACCCTTCCATTAAAATCTCCTAACATAATAATATTTTCATTTTCCTTACATTTCATCAACACCAGCCTTACCATGTCCCAAAACTGCTCTCGGATATAAGTGTGCTTAGACATATCTGGGGAGTACACCCCTAGCACAAACAACTTCTGTAAGCCCACTTTCATTCGCATCCACAGCAGCCTTGGGCTAACACATTCATACTCTTTCACACATTGACCCATTCTTTCTGAGAGGATGACACCGACTCCTTGGCATGCCCGCTCGGTCTCGTCTACTCCAGACCAGTAAGCGGTATACATGCCATGCGCAGTGACATCTCTTCCCTTTCGTTTCGTCTCGTTTACACATAACACATCTATTCCTCTATCATTCATCATTTCGCATACTTCATCCATCTTATCATTCATTGCTCCACATACATTCAGCGTGGCCAGACGGGCCTCCGCAATCCACTTTTCGCCCCCCCGGGAGACAGGACGTGACGAGTGGCGAACCTCGTCGCCGGTTTTTCTCCCGGAGATTCTTCGCACCCCTGCCCCATTAAAGGGGCGCCGGTTTCGTTTCTCTTACAAAATACACTTTAAATCTATCAAATTTTAGAAAAGCACTTAACTTAAAAGTCGTTACACGATAAATTATTATACAAA